CGCTTCGCGCGTGAAAGGGGAACTGAATTCAGACAAGGATTAAAAGTCGAGAACGGTACAATGAATCGTCTTCTTTTTCTAATGATTTAATGAAACATCTAAGTTTCGCGCGGGAAGGGGGGAACTGAATTCAGACAAGGATTAAGAGTCGAGAACGGTACAACGAATCGTCTTCTTTATATAATAATTAAATGTAACGTCTAAGCTTCCGCGCTTCGTGCGTGAAAGGGAAACTGAATTTAGACAAGGATTGGAAGTTGAGAACGGTACAACGAATCGTCTTCTTTTCCTAATGATTTAAGGAAACGTCTAAGCTTTCGCGCGGTAGGGGAAAACTGAATTCAGACAAGGATTAAGAGTCGAGAACGGTACAACGAATCGTCTTCTTTCTCTAATAATTAAAAGAAACGTCAAAGCTTCCGCGCTTTGCGCGGGAAGGGGGAAACTGAATTCAGACAAGGATTAAAAGTCGGGAACGGTACAACGAATTGTCTTCTTTTTCTAATGATTTAAGGAAACGTCTTAGCTTTCGCGGGGGAGGGGGAAAACTGAATTCAGACAAGGGTTAAGAGTCGAGAACGGTACAACGAATTGTCTTCTTTTTCTAATGATTTAAGGAAACGCTAAGGTTTCGCGCGAGAGGGGGGGGGGGGGAACAGAATTCAGACAAGGATTAAGAGTCGAGAACGGTACAACGAATCGTCTTCTTTCTCTATTGATTTAAGGAAACAACTAACCTTCGCGCTTTGCGCCGGAGAGGAAACTGAATTCAGACAAGGATTAAGAGTCGAGAACTACTTCGGTTTTATGTCGGGCAGGTGGTAGGCGCAGCTTGCAGAGCTGGAAACTTTAAAAGCTATTAGCTAAAATGTATGTAGCGCCATCATCATCATTTACACAAGAGTCTACAAATTATGTCTTCTAGCTTTGTCGTTCCAAAACTCAAATAGGCCTATACCTTTATGGCAAACACAGAGGCGGCGCTCCCGAAGGGCAGGGGAAAAAATGCCCCCATTTTTTCACGTATCCTAAAAGTGCCCCCTGTTACTTCAGATAAGTGCCCCTTTTTCTTTCTAATAGGTGGCCGATCCACATTCTTTTAAGTGCCTCTTACCACCGCTCTCATCAGTTCCCCTTTACCTCTGATAGTCTAATTGCCCCTATTCAAATTCGAGAGGTGCCCCTTTTCCATCGTACGAAGTGCCCCTTTCCTTCTAATAAGCGTCCCTTTTCACCTCTGACGAGTGCTCATTTTACTTTGACGCGTGCCCCCTTTATCCTTTCGAAAAGGTGCTCCTTTCGATAAGTACCCCTTTTCATTTTTATTAAGAGCCCCTTCCCCTTTCAAAAAATGCCCCTTTCACCTTTGACAAGAGGCCTTTTTTATTTTGGCACGTGCCCATTGTTCTTTCAAATAAATGCCCTTTTTCCTTCTGATAAGTGCCCCTCTTCGAATTTTAATAAAGTTCCATCCCTTCACATAAATGACCCTATTGGTATCTAATAGGCAGTAGCGTACGCAGGATTTTTTCAAGGGGGGTGTTTTAACATTTTTAAATCGGGCCGAAAATTGAATAATTTTGGTCTCGAAATTTGAAAAATTGACATTTTATAGAAAAAAAACAAGGGGGGTGTTGTTGAACCACCAGCCCCCCCCCCCCCCCCCCCCCCCTGTGTACGCGCCTGCTAATAGGTGTCCTCTTTTCTTCGACAAATGCCCCTTATTCATTTCCATTCGTGCCTTTTTTTCATATCTGGTGAGTGCCCCTTTTAGGTTCGAGAAGTGTCCCATCAACATCTGTTTTCTTCCCCTCTTTAAAAGATGTATTTTTTTCGCGCTGCGACCTCACAAATCTTTGAAATTTCTCTCGCTCGCAAATGAATGCCTCAAAAAAAGTAAAAACCTTTGAGTGACCGGTTTTACCATATTCGTTTTCCCTAATAGACTGTAGTGTTATGAAAACCGTTTGGCAAACGCAAAATTTGATTTCGATTTTCAATCATAAATATCTTGATAATCAGACAGGCAATCGGCTTGTAAAAGTCATGGAGTTCCTGACTGACCTAAAGGTTTATAATTATCATTGCATCATGAGCTAAATCAAGGATTTTTTTTAAGGATCTAAGACAAAGTTACCGGATCCTTTTGAAGCAGGATCTTCATGTAAAGAGAGACACAAATATTGAAATCATCCCTGATAATGTAATATAATGTATGGGTGAATTCAAATTGAGATATTGTAATCAAAATCCTGGCCAAGAATGATTCTCGATTATCATCAAATTAAACAACCAACAATTAAAAATCAAATGGCGATGGGAACTAAAGCTCATAAAAACGAAACACAAGATAGAAGCTTGTAATTATAAATAAACATAATGAATAACTAAATACACATAAAATGTCATAATTACAACGAGCTATAGTTCTTTACATATAGATCAACAATTAATAAGCAAATCCTGTAAACCTAACTCAGGATTATCAATGAACAACTTAAGAGCAACATTTGGAGTGTGATAAAGTACAAAACCTCAACAGAACAACTTCATAACATTTATAATAATAATGATAATAATTACACTTATGATACTAATAATGATAATAACAATAATAATAATAATAATAATAATAATATTAAAATAATAATAATGATAATGATAATAACAACAATAATTAATTATTATTCTTAATTTAATTTACACAAGTTACACAAGTAATTAATAAACAAACGAATTAATAGGGATATGCATACATGTATATGTTATGTACAATATATCCACATAAAATACTGCCATGTTATACAGTTCAGCTCCTCCGGGTCGTCGGCTTCTCTCGCGCGAATTCATTCTTGCTACTTCTTGATGTTGTCGATCTGTCCATCCCGTTGGACATAGTACCAACTCGAAGTTCCCCCTTCCTTGACTCGTACATATTCCTTCTTCGACTTGTACCAGGCATTCATTAAATTATTTTGTTCTCCCGCCCTTCCAGCTGACCCTGAGAATGTTGTCTCCTCCAAAACTGCATTTCAAGGGCATTGATTCTTTTGACGCCTGATGCCTTCAAAGTCCAACTTTATACAGCGTTCGCAGCCATTCCAGCTAGTGCCCTAATCCGCTTCTGATCCTCCTCTAGATATTGATTACTGATCCGAGGCACTGCGCTTCTCTGCGATCTCAATATCTTTATAATTATATATTCCTGACCCGCATATACATATATCCTCATATGACATGTAATTAAAAAACAATTAATTATATTAAATTTATTCGCAAAGTTGCTTAAGTCTTTCTGTTTACATATTACTTACTCCAATGACACATATAGTTTACTTATCTATATTCCTAACATTAAACCGGTCGTTCATGGTTGAAAATAGCGGGAATATTATTGCCATGCTGTGGTCTCATATCCCTGGTACTATGCCCCCCTTTGCAGGCCAAAAAATGAAAGGGTTAAATTCCAACTGCATGCATTTGAAAGACACTACTAATTTAGAACTTCCCTCAAAACGAAAGGGCTTAAAATGGCTTTTAGTGGAAAAATAACGACAATTAGTTGCCGAATCGACTTAAGTGATTGCAATCACCTAGGTAATAGTCCGATTTTCGGACTTTTACCGAATGACTCCTTACGTTTTGTGCTGCACAAAGATTCAATTAGTTTTAGTGAGTTACTTGATGTAGACTAAATAATGCTCACGTATACCTGTTACAGCTCATTTCATTACCAAAGAAAAAAAGATGTCAGTCAGTTACTAATTAGTGTCTAAAAGTGAAGTCTAAAAGGGAAATGGGTTTTCTTGCATACGTGACAGTACTAGGACACTGATAATGTTTAAATTTCACAGATACGACTGACATGAAATAAATTTCATAATTCCTGCAAATTTATTCAGAATTTGATGTTGGCTGCAAAACAGTCATGGCTAACTGGTTGAAGAGTTCTATTATTTGTGCATGGAGGGTATTACTGGTTAATCGTCTTCTACTGACAGATTTTTATCATCGACATTTTGAGATTTTATTCATTTTTTTAATTTTAATTAAATCTGCATTGTTTTAAAATAATTTTACCATTATAGGCCCAATTATTTGTCTTAGTTTCGCAAAATTTGTAATGAATGTTTTATGACTCTCTGGAAGGAGATAGTTTTTCAATATTATTATTTCACAATTTTTGTTATAATGTTCTCATGCAGTTTACTTTTATAATGTAAGTCCTTTCACACACTTGGTATAGGATTGCTATCACCCCTTCCTCTCTCTCTCTCTCTCCCTCCCCTCTCTCTCTGTACTTCTCCCCCTCTCTCTCTCTCTCTCTCTTTCCCTCTCTATAGCTCTCTCTCTCTCTCTCTCTTTCTCTCTCTCTCTCTCTCTCCCTCCCCTCTCTCCCTCTCTCTACCTGTACCTCTCCATCTCTCACTCTCTCTGTCTCATTAATGTTTTGCCCACCCTAATTCAAGCGTCTCCCCACTAAAGTCCCCTCCCACATAATGTGCCAGGCTCCCATACAGAGCCCGGCTACAAAAACCATATGATTTCATTAACCATATTTTTGTTAATTGCCTTATGGGGAAAAATAGGTTTTTAACATCAGGTTTTTATCTATCTTATATTTAAAGATTAAAAATCAACAAAATGATTCACAGAAGTATGAAATCGCAGGCAGAGCCTGGGAGGGGTAGTAGGTACCGTAGGAGAGGCATGCATGTCATGCAAATGGACATGAACCACTGTGGTTGCGCGCAATAATACCATCTTGAAATTCTGCAATATATAAATAGTTTCTCTGCTTCCCCTAAACAAATATTTCATTGACAGAAAACTTAAAATTGATTGATGTATAATTAAATAGTTCTAACAATATCTGATATCTTAAAATCAATGAAAATTCTAATTCGTTTAGGAACTATATTTTGCATTCCATTTTGATGGACGAACAACAATGAAATCAAGCGTGATAGGGCCGTGTTATGATCAAACTGCAATTCTTCATGTGTACGTACACCATCCGTGCATAAGCGTGTTGCAAATTGTGCTGCTGATGTTGATATCTCGAGTCTTAGTTAACGGGGTCAGTTCATCCATAGAATGCTAGCGAACTCGATAACTAAAAAGGACAAGAGATGTTCATTTCATTTTTAAGTGTGATCATTTTAAGTTCCTGCTGAATAATCTATATCTCATGCACGTATAGTCCAGCTAATTTTGCTAAAGTTATCTGTCTACAGAAAGCAAAATGAGCACATTAAGCTTGCCTTTCACGCCACCAATTGTGAAGAGGTTGCTTGGATGGAAGAAGGACAATTCGGAAGACAAATGGTCAGAGAAAGCCGTCAAAAGTTTGGTTAAGAAGCTAAAGAAAACAGGATGCCTTGAAGAACTTGAAAGAGCTGTAACGACGCAGAACAGCCAAACCAAATGCATTACAATACCTAGGTGAGAATATTATATCGACACTGAAACATCGGCATGCCATGATGATCAGTGTCAGCTGTCCAGCAAGGTGTTTGTTCTGAACCTTTGGCATTGCCTTTGCTTTGGCTCAGCTCAGCTCTGCCTCTCTGCTCTGGCCTGATAGTGATACAGCAGTCGCAGCACTAACACACTGACTGTGTACTGTCTCTGAGCTGAGCTGAGCTGACCAGACACAGTCAGTGGAATCTTGTAATCTATTAGTTAAAATTGATCTCACGCTTTATGGTTAATGTCTAGGTAGTTTGGAAGGTCCCATGTCAGGTCGCCCAATGTCAGCCCGCCCCCTTATTTTAGTCGCTCTCAATTGGTCATGTCGCCCCCCAATTTTTTTGGAGATTTTGGGATGCTTGGCCAGCTCGCCCAAACTTTTTTGGGCATCCCATCCCCTAATTACTTCTACTTCTACTTCTACGTCGGTACTTGACAGGATCCATCAGTCAGGATATAACGTCAAGGTTAAAATGTCTGGCAAGGTGCTCTTAATTTGATGTCTTTTACAAGTTCAAATTCAAGCCATTTTCAGTTCCTGGCATCTAGAGGTCTAGACCCTATGTTAGACTAATTGTTATTACTAATTATTGAAAATTTTCCTCGAATTTTCTATTGTAACTGCATATTTTCAAGGATATTTGCATCTAAATGTTGGGACGCATCGGAACGGAAAACGGACGAGAAATAATCATTTTATTCTTCTACATTTTGCGTTCTTTAAAACAAAAGAGTTGGTAATTACTATCAAATAATATAAATTGTAGATCACTTAAACAAATGTTAGTTTGCATTCGCTGGTAAATGAAGGAAGAAATAGGCCGTCAAAAGTATTTTTGTGATGGATAGTGCAGGCAAGCAGGAGAGGTTCATCTCCGAACGAGGCTATTGTAATACATATATGCGTGTCAACATCCTCTGCCTTAGTTCATTGTTACAAATGCACTCAATAATAAAAAGTTTTTGATTTGAGTAAAGCTTTTAATACTCATTTTTTTAAATAATTATAACTTTTGAGAGCATGAGAATCTTGATATGCATCGTAAAATCACTGTCGTGAGTTCAGCAGTCGTCAGTTGACGATTATTTTAACAAAAATGAATCGGTCTAAACTAGGATAAATGTAATGACAAATAGGACCGACAATTCTGACCGCTCGCGATGAATTGCCGCTCCCCGAGTCCCCGGCATTAGCCGCATGCACTGCTGCGCTAGCGTACTGCCTTTGTACGTAGGGGACGACTGTGTACAGTGTATAGGAAGGCGACCCGACCACATAATTTGGAACAACTGCAGAATACCCTGCACGTTGAGAGCTAGCTCGGCTGGTAATGATATGTTTTACCCCATTTACAATAACAGCTTGTTAAGAGGTCACAAACAATTAGACTTTGATTATTTATTGCTTTGCCTCACTAGTATAGAGGCAAAAAACAGAACTGAATAAATACTGAGATTGGAACCCACAACTCCAACATTGTATTACGCTGTCCTTACTGATTGAGCAAACAATGCGTTGATGAAAGGTGGGTTTGCATGATTATTATGACCCTATCACTAGCCCTAACGTTTAACATGTGCGCAGGCACAGGGTTAACTAGACTCTCTTTTGTTCATTAGCCTCTAGTTTGTTTTCAAACTTTTACATGATGTACATGTACAGTTCATGTTATTAATGTAAGACAATACAGGACATTCAATGATTGCTATAATGGTCATGTTGTTAATGTAAGACAATACAGGACATTCAATGATTGCTTTAATGGTCATGTTATTAATGTAAGACAATACAGGACATTCAATGATTGCTTTAATGGTTGAAAAGAAAGGTCTTTCCGTATTTGTTATTTTGTTCTTGCTAATGGTACAATGCAGCACTTTAAATATCAAAAAGACAAGATTGTCAAGAAATACTTGATGTAAATTCGTATTCAGATTCAGTATTGTTCTTGTGCAGTGGAAATAGAAAATGGCTAAAGTGAGCAAAGAAAATATAGCTGTTTTTAACTTGTCTTTTGGAAGTCACCTCACCCATTCACATTACATGTACACATTACACAAAGATAAGGGGTGTGGCAGACATGAAATTATTTTGATATACCGGTAGACTTTTTATCTTATCTTGGAATACTGGGTAGTGATCTACATATATAGGCCCCTGGTGTGCTGGCTTTGGTGATTTGAGGGCTAGGGGTAGTAGTGGAGGCAGTAGGCCTTACACCTGTACATGTACATACACAAGAATATTAGCAATTTGGGGAACCGGGATGATCAGGGATCCTGTTATGAAAAATAAAAAGTTTACAGTATGGTTCCCAAAAATAGGGGTGCATCTTATACACAGAGATTTACGGTACTGTGCCTTTGTGATAAACTTACTAATCTGCTCCAGCCTTGCGACATGTTTTCTGAGCGATGGATGTCAATGTCTATTTAAACTCCTCTAGGGGTTTTATTTTATTCAGAACATTATGAAAAGCATTACATTTTTTAAGGTAAATAATAGACTTAATTAGATGCAGGTTACAGTGCATTTACACTCGGAAGTCCATTTAAAATTTGGCTGGGAATTATTAGAGAGACACAGTCTGAGTGAAATGATCTCAGAAACGTCTTGTTAACCTTGTCAGTTGACCTGTAGCCCTAGATGACAGAGATGACAGTACTTTTCGAAGAAATTTTTACGTATTACAGTACAATGTGTATGGGGCCAAGTCGAATTAGTCAATAGTGAAATCACTGAAATGTTGCAAGATACATTGTTATTATCAATATCAAATTCTTCATTTTGAGCATTCAGTGACATAAAGATGTAGATATCAAAATGTTCAGAAAAATGTGAGCTTTCAAGGAAACACAAAGACTTAACTCCACCCAACACCCCATTGAAGTCAGTGGTTAGTGAAACATACAAATGTACATGTAGACTTAACTCAAGTGCTCAGTGACACATAAACCACTTTTTCTTAAAATGGCCAAAATGGAGTTGCGTCTTTGTGTCACTGACCCCTCGATTTGTTTGGAGGATGGATTTTGTGTAATGATTGAGGCGGTCATGCATGAATGCCAATGGTGTATTCTATTCTTTGGGGAACAAACATGTTTTTAATGATCAATTTGGCCATTCATGTAGTGCAATATGTTGTTTTCACCTTTCGTTTGGAAGATGCAATGTGTTTGCAACTTGTCAACTCCAACAGACACTTGATTGTCTATAAGTTACTGTGGTAACCATTCCCTCCACAGCTATACAAATCACTCTACAAAATAATGGGGAAAAAACAAAGAAGTGTACTGTAAACAAATTTCATCATCACTTTATTTATTGCACAATTCATCCTCCAAACAAATTAAAAAAATTCACTGTTGATAATAACTATTTGGAACAATTACATTTTATTTGGCCCTTGATAGCCCTTAAATTAGAGACTATGGTGGTAAGCGCTTTATAAGCACTGTTTTTTAAATTATTTTTTATTATTATTATTATTATTGTTATAATACAGGTACATGTATACTGTACATTCCATGATTAGAAAATCATCAAAATAGGACATCAATGTAAAGGGTGATAATAGGGGCCAAGGGCTTTTGATAATACAAAGAGAGATTTTAATGCTCAACTTTGAATAGACAATCACTTTTGAGGAGTTAAGTTGCTGTGCTAGGGATGGTATTAAATTAACCCATACTCTGAGTCCTGGTCACCGTTGATCAGAAGCAAGTTGTAATGATACCATGAAGGCTGCTCTGACTCTTATACATGTAGGAAGGAAATGTTTGTGACATGGTTTCCGCTTTGGCTGAATATTGGGGAAAAAAGCCTGTCGATGGTGTTGATACAATTCTTTAGTCGCTACTATTCCTGACCTACAGTAAAATGTGTGTTCCTATCTTGCACACACACTTAGCACACATGTTTAGTACATGTACCTTGCTATTATTAACCTTAAAGTGTACCGATCACCTGAAAAATATATTTTGTATATATATATGAATAAAATCAACCTAAAAAAATTGTACCTACATGTACATGTAGCATTTGTATACTGGTAGTAAGGCTGTGAAGGGTAGTCGAATGCTCGAGTACCCGCACGGTTGACAACTACTCGGGTACGATTTCTCGTACCCGAATATTCGGCCGCAAAAAAAAAAAAAAAAAAATGTCCAGGCCGACGCTTACCCGTGCCTGGGTGAGCGGCGGTTGCTGGCATGGTGCCGTCGATAAAAATGTTTCTGAACTCAAGCACTGTCAAACTCACCACTCAGAAACTGGGACCAAATGTCTGGATTTCTGCTTGGACTTGGAGGAAAAGGGATTATTCTGCCATCTTTGGTTTTTAAAACAGCATTGTTCACTGTTATTATTATTATTAAATCGGCGCCTTCAACTGCAACTCAAAGTAAAATTGCATGCGTTTTCGGCGACAGAACTGGGGTACTGCTCCAGTGGTATGTATGGTGGTGGCAAAAAAAAAAAATCAAAAAAAAAAAAAAAAAAAAAAAAATTAAAAAAAAAAAAAAAAAAACAACATGGCGTCCGAATACTCGAGTATTCGCTTGTAAGCATGGGAGTGTACTCGGGTACCTCATTACACTGTTGTGCACAGCCTTAACTGGTAGCTCCTCAAATATCAATATTTCTGTGAGATATTATGGAAATCTATGGTATTGTTTTACAGTTTTCATGCTGTGGTCTCTTAAAGATACTACATGTATGTCCCTTTTGCAGCCAACATCAAATTCTGTAGAACTTTGCAGGAATTATGAATATGTCATGTATGTCAGATCTGTGAAATTTAAACATTAGTAGTGTCCTAGTATAAATTCAAATTATGCAAGGAAAGTAGGAAACCCATTTACCTTCTAGACTTCACTGTCAGACACTATTGATTGACTGACTGACATCTTCTTTGGTAATAACATACATAAAATGACCTGTAACAGGTACATGAGCATTTGTCAACATCAATAATCCTCTACTTGGGTGCGTGGCCAAAATTAAACTGATCAAATCTTTGTGCAACACAAAACGTATGACCATTCGGTAAGAGGGTCTGAAATCAGACTATTACTTAGTTGATTGCAATCACTTAAGTTGATTCAACAACTAATGGTAGTTATTTTTCCCTTTAAAGGCCATTTTCAAGCCGTTTCGTTTTGAGGGAAGTTCTAAGTTAGAATTTTTTTTCAAATGCCGTTGGGATTTAACCTTTTCATTTTTTAGCCTGCAAATGGGACATAGTATCTTTAAAGTCTAATGTGATATCTTATGTTGGTTTAATGCTTATTGATCCGATCAGTTAGGATTTTCATCTATATGTATGGCGGTGTAGGGCTGTATCCACTCACATCAAGCATGACAAACTTGATGCCCAACTTAAGCCAAATACAGGCACATTTAGAATGATGGAAAGGCACATCGATGTTGTTTCAAAAGCTTTGGTTAATTCCCTTCGTCATATTTTGTGAGCTATTATTTTGTGGATGTTTTGACAATTAATGTCTATTACAATTTTTAAATTTTTTAATTGTATAAGTCTGATCAGCATTTTAGTCTTGTGTGTGGTACTATCGTAACCTACTCAGTCTTTGGCGACTCTTTATTTTTTACTTCCGTTTTTTAAAATGCTCGGTACAGCAAAGCGTGACTCCTTCCTTACAGCCTCAATTTTATTCATATGAAACAATATCCATTTATTTCTAAAGCATATTTATTAAATTAAATTGAAATTCAGTTTGGGAATTTTATTTTTAGCTCTTCATTGCAAAATATCAGTGTGAAATAATATATCGTAAATTCATACAGTGTTCATATTTGAACAAAAATGTACATAAATGTACCCTGTATATACACTGTACACGTATACCGACTTGTATAAGCCTACAATATTGACTATGATACAGTATGTACATGTATACATGTACGGTACTAGAGATTACTGATCAACAGATGGTCATACATAACTTGATAGAGTCTCAGATATTTCTGTTCTCTTTTTGTATTACAAATGTTTCCCTGATGTTTACAGTGAAATGTAATATATTTTGCTGCTAGATGTATGCTTTGACAATTAATTCCTCATTTATTATTAATTTATTTCTATATGATTTTTAGTTATACTTCATTAATCTAATTACATTTGTGCCAGTATGCATGACTGCTGTTCATACTGTTGTACATTGTGACTCTTATATTATGTAGGTCGACAGTAGTCTAGACAGAAGACTGAATATATCACAGCAGATCGGGGTTGGCCTGCCTGTGCCTGGTGTATTTTGCTTTTACCTACATGTTCTTTTTCTTTCTCGACTTGATTCTCATGCTTTCAGATCTTCATTTGTGACGAGTGGAGCACAATTTATACCACACCCCCATCCCAAAGCTGCGTAAGTTCAATTCAGGGCATCTTATCTGTCAATGTTTCTTAGTTTGGACAACCTCAGAAAAACGCATTGTTCTTGCATTGTTCTTGAATGTTAAATGTGTTCTTTCCGTTATTGATTTTGAATTTTGATTTATAATTGAAATGCAAGCAGTTATTTGTTGCACTGTGATTATTCTTTACTGTTTTTATACTTGAAGATATTTGAGTTTACCTTTGATTTTGCATGTCTTTGCACTGGTCATGCATGCAGCAACCAATGCACTTGATGTTATGACCTCAATATTCCCTATCCTACATGTATGTTCAAATAATCTTTGGAAAATAAAAGGAAACACGCACTTACAAATACACACTCACTCCGCAAGTTGAAGAATCAGACTTTGATGTAGATAACTGTAACATGTAGATACCAGTAGGCTTACTCCTTGTTATTACATGTACCGGTAGGTCGTCTTTATTTTTGGCCTACATATTTGCATGATACTGTATGCCAAGGCCCCTGTCTGTCTGCATGGTTCTTTGTTGGTTTGCAAGGAAGTATTGCTGAGAAACAGACTAGAAGAAAATGAACTCTGATCCCACCTTGTTATCTAATTTGCTAGATGGAGACCCATGTTTTTGAATTGAAGAATAACAGCATAATAAGATGTTGTGTGATATGTCTGCTGTATGGTAGAGGCATAGCTCTGTGGGGGTAGCAAAGAAACATTGCTTTCATTTTCATTCTTTTATAAGATTAGTAATTTACAGTTGTAGGTCTAAAAAATGAATGGGGGAGAATATTATGAAGTAAAAGTATTCATACTGATGTACAAAATGTGCACAATTCAGGAAGCAAGATCTATAAAATGGAAGTGAGTGTTTGTGAGAAATTAAATAAAGTACATGTACATTGACATAATGTGGTAGAACCTGTAGGAATTTTACATCCTTTTATGCAGGGCTCAACACTCACTTGTTTGGAAGGGGATGCTGCAGATTGAACTCTTTACAGTCTGTGTACAAACTAGGCCTGTAACAGATCATTGGATCGGGGGCCGATCTTGAGCCGATCTTGAGCCGATCAAGGGTGATCGGATAATAATTTCCGATCGCCGATCAATAAAAATGATCGGAAAAAAAAATTGGCAATGCATGCCTACATTAATCCAAGATGGCGGCCCGCATGTTTTGTCTCTTCTCTTAGACCATTATTATTAATTTCAAAGTCATGAAAAGGCACTAAATATCACCAAACATTGTCTAAAACAACTCCAAATGACAAAATAATCCCAAGCATGAATTTTTTTTGAGCATTTGATAACCAAAAACTTGAAAATTTTCGTCATTTAAAAAAAAGAAAAGAAACAATTATTTTTGCCGATACCGATCACAGGTGCGAGGGTGTCGCTCCGATCTTCCAATCTGATAAAAGCCCCAACTTACAGGGTTAGTACAAACACTATGTACAAATAGAGGGGGGGGGGGGAGGGCCCCATACTTACATTTTGTGTCCTGATCGCCTGTTAGTGTCAGCCCTGTTTTGTTTTCCTTAAACAAGTTTGTCATGCTAAGGGTATACATATATCTGTATATTCAATATATATACATGTACATGTAGCAATCATTGTAGTGTACGTGCAAAGATCACCTCATCGTTAAAGTTTAAACTATTCAATGCTGTAGACTGTAGGCCTAGTAGTAATACTACTAAACATTTTTAATGAAAATGTGATCTACATGTACATTTGTATGTCATTCTACATTCACTGTACATGTACATTATTTTACTCTGATCTATAGTGAATACAAATGGTAAAATTAAGCAAAATTATTGACTCCTTTTCTGTCTTCTCAGACTGCATCCATAAAACTTTGACGTTATTTCAATTAATACCATATCTTATTTCTTCATCTTCCTATTCTAAATGGCTTGATACAAATGATAGTCCTAAATGAGTCAACTAAAGACACTACTGTTGCAGGTACTTTTTAATATATTCAAATGAAAATAAAGCTGTTGAGCTATTTTATAATTGGCACATTTAATTGGCACAATTATTTGATACTTTACCACAATTCCTATAGTCAGTCAGTCTTGAGCAGATCCTACTAGATTATGGACTTCCTGACTGACTGACTGTGTGTGTGTGTGTGTGTCAGTCCAGGCTGAGCAGCAGGCCAGTGAGCAGGTGTTACATGTACAGAGCCTACTGTAGTCTCACATTGCAAACAGTGTGACAATGACCGACTGCCAAGGGGGTTGTACAGACTTGCCTGCAAACTAGTGTGCAGTACAGTCAGAGCATTCTTACATACACATAAGGATGTACTACCCTTGTTTATCAACTCAAATTATATAGATCTGTGTATACTTCTTGCACTAATTCAGGCAAATTACCCACATGTACATGTGCAAGTTGTAACTATGGTATGGTATTAATTGGATGGCTTATCGTGCACAAGTCTCCCTCAAAATCCTTGTAGAGGTTCTTAGAAGTTAGTTACCAGCAACTTTATTGTTTTGTTTTGTTTTGTTCAGTTTTCTTCTTTTTTTTTATTAAAAAAGGGGATTATTGCTATGTTTTGTAAAAGTGCCCATAATAGTTATCAGTTGTAATTTCTCTCAGTGTTTGTTTCTTAGAATCTTGTTTTATAGGACACAGTTGATTTGAATCATATCCAGAACTTCATTTGATATAATACCTTCAAATTTTGGAGAGAGAAAAAGAAGGAACATTTTTGTCCATCTCCTTGCAGGTGCTTATTGTATAATAAATTCACTGTACCTGTATTATAGGTATGGGGAAGGCATGGGCAAAATTCAGATTCAAACATTATTTGAGATTCAGAAAAAATGCTTACGGTAATGTTAGTATTGGAGGGAAATGATACCAACATTTGCCAGGGTGGCACAAGCAAGCACACCCCCCCCCCCATACACAAAGGTTTTATATGAGATTTTAAAAAATGTTGAATTCGAACAAAATTCAATAATATGTAAGTTACAATAACTTTTTAAATTTGGGATTAATACACAGCAATTTCAAATTGGCAAAATATTTGTAGATGTGATGTTCAGTGTATAGTCAGATAATATTTTTACTATTGATTAGGATGTTTTGATATATTTTTTTATTGGAGAACATATTCAACATATTATGGCCCTGCAGAGGGAACATTAACTTAAGGGAACATTAACTTAAGGGGAAATGAATGTTGATGAGAGAGAGAGAGAGAGAGAGAGAGAGAGAGAGAGAGACGGTAAGTATCAAATTCCAGAAAGAAAAGATTCTCTTTGTAATTCATTTGCTTGAAGAATGAGTCGTCACCTCTTTCCGCCCACAAGACTGAAAGCTAGGAGTTTGATTTTTAAAAATAAACCCATTATCAAAAAGAGGGAGAAGCCATTTTACAGGCATATCTACTTTGGGCTGCTAACTCTTGTCAAAATTCAGGGCAACCTGGAACAATTACAAATCAAAATTGTGGCTGTTATTTGCAATGAACAGCACAAAATGCGATAAATGACAACAGTGATATTTTCCAGAGGCAGGACTTCAGAAGAGTTTGGAAAATCATACATCTTCATGCAGATTGTCTTGTTAACATAGTGTCAATGAATGTGGAGAAAATTTGATTAACATGTAAATAGAATAAAAAATAGTGCCTTGGATGGCACCAAATAACCCTGTGGTAAAGTTATTCTATTTTATTAATACATTATCCAGACCAAATTCTGTGTAATGATTAGTAATCGTTCTAGTTAAAGTATGATAATCCTGTGACATCAATCAAATCTAAAAATATACTGTTTTCTCAGATTAACAATTATAGAGTGCTATTTGTGTGTAAAATTCTGAGTTTGTTTTACTCGATCCTCACACCCGGCTTATCATGTACATGCAGGAAGTTTGATACTATTTCTACTAGCGTACATGTATGTAAATGATGCACACTTTGCATACAAATAAACATCAATCTGTCTAAAAGTATACAGGTTTCACAATATCATGCCTTCCTTTTTTTTTTACTGTTTTACTCCCAGTTCTTCAGCACTCACTTTGCTCACTGTATATGATATGCATTACACAATGCTAGCACATTAATATAGTCATGAATATTGGACACTTTGTTCATGTGTACGTTTAGACATTCATCTTGTTTGAGGTTCTGAATTTTTATGTTGCAGGGGAAAAAGTAGTGATTATTACGATGTAAATAGCCTTTAAGTTTAACATTATAACGGTATGTGCAATTTTTGCATCAAAATTTGAATAAAGTGTAAGCCTTGTTTATGTACATGCATTAATGAAATTTATGATGAATAGCTAAATGATGTGTCCTGCTGTCAAACCAACATGAATGATTTAGTTTTTTTTTGCTGTTTTTTTTTTTTTTTTTTTGTGGGGGGGGGGGGGGGGGGGCTTGTTGCTAAATGAATGCATCTTTACTATCGTAATTAACGGTGTATTAACCGCCCTCGTGTAGTAACCACACCGCCCTCTTTTTCGCCCTAAAAAAAAAAAAAAAAAAAAAAATTGCAGACTTTGTCGGCAGCAAGCCAGGTCCATGTTAAAGATCATTAATGTAAATCAAAAAAACAGTAGAGGACCTAGGATAGAACCTTGTGGTACGCCGTGAAATGGAAGAAAAATTGGAGGAATTACTATTATAAACTACATATTGATATCTATCAGAAAGATTAATTTCAAACCAAGATCACAGACAAATTTGAGTGTTGTTCTAGTTTCCGAGTGGTGAGTCAACACACCGATTACTGAGCTGGGAGACATTGCCAGGCATAGCGCCAGGTGGAGGGGGATAAATCGAAACTTTAAAAATCGCCCTTTTTATTTTTTATTTATTTTTTAATATTTTTTTGGTGTACCGTGTATAAACCGCACCCCTAATTTTAATTTTTTTCGGCGGCAAAAGTGCGGTTTATACACCGTTAATTACGGTGGCTAAGGCACTTACATGTACTAATGTACATGTATGCGTGGTGGTGTGCTTTATACAACTTCTATAATTGTATTTATTTACCAGTATGCAAATGAACATGCCCTTCTCCTCTCCCTCATTCCCTCTCTTTCTCCCTCTTCCTGCTCTTTTTCCCTTCTGCCCTTCCTCCCGTATCCTTTTCTTGATTCCTCAGCCCTTCCTAATTTCATTTCTCCCTGTATTAAGGCTCATTCCCTGCCTCACTTTCTGCCTCCTTGCCTCTCACTGCCTGTCTGCCTCCCTGCCTCCATCCACGAGATACATGTGTACACTTTTGCATCTATCTTTATTGAACTGTTTATCTATATGGACAATATTATGCCTCTGCCCACCAAAGGTGGTGACGGAGGCATTATGTTTTCAGGTTGTCCATCCATCCGTCCTGTTTTCTGGTTATCGCGATATCTCATGAACTTCATACTTGGTGATAGTATAGGCCTGTCTTCACTATCTCGAGATTGCCAAATATCCAGCTATTTAAACTATCCTGATCGCAAACTATCCAGCTAATTTGCGTCTTCATCAGACCGTAGTAGCAATTAGCAGGATATTTGGTCGGGATTGTCATCCCAAAATATCTTTGGATAGTTTGCAAAATATCCAGCTATTTGTCCTGTGCGTCTTCACCAGATCGAAGACTCGCACCATGCGCTAACGCTTAGCAAAATATCTCAAGCTGATTTCTCAAGGTCAAGTTTCAAGTTTCGAGGTCAAATCTCGAGCTGATGAAGACGCGATTTGTAACTTCGGGATTATTTGCCAAATCAGAAATAGCGGGCTATTTGGCAATCTCGAGATGATGGAGACGCGCCTTATGTATCAACGTAAGGAGAGGATCTGATTAGATTTTGGAGTACACATAAGCCGGTCAAAGGTCGTAGAGGTATTTTTCTGAAATTAACCTCATCAGGTATGTCAGGATTCAGGAACCATGTGAGGTTTGAACTTCAAACTTGGTGCAAGTATGTATCACCATAGGAAGACAATCTGATTAGAATTTGGGGTTAGTTGGTCAAAGGTCATAGATCAAATGCTATGAACTAGAGGGTTTTAGCCTTGTTATCAAAATATCTCAAGAACTTTTAAAGCTATTAACTTACATGTATACATGTAGTTAAGTTTTTTAATGCATCATCATATTGAGATGAAAATATTAGATTGGGATAAGGTCAAAGTAGGTCAAAGGTCAAGGGGCAGAGGACAATTTAAATGAAATTTCAGGGATTTTGCCCCATTACAATTTCTGAAGAACTGTTTGAGCAATTCATTTTTAACTTAAAATTTGTATGTAGCAATATATTGACTCAAACTGATTAGATTTGGTTAAGAAGATAAGGTCATCAAGTCAATATACATGAGACAATTTTTTTCAATAAACTCAGAGCTGGAAACTTGTTACTAGTATGTATCAAAATAGAGAGACAAGGGATCATATTTTTGGGATTGACATGTCAAAGGTCATAAATGACGATTGACTTTTAGTTATACATGTAGGCTTTTTGTTCCCATGATATTTGAAGAATAAATCTAACTGTGATTTTAATTGAATTTAGGTGGAGGCATATTGGAGGCGCAGTCGCATTTGTCATGTTTTGTTAATGTAATTTTCTTTTCTTTTTAAACGTTGATGTCTCTCATAATTTAGAACAATTTAAATTGTTTATTTCTCTGTAGATCCCTTGATGGGCGTTTGCAAGTGTCTCACAGAAAGGGGCTTCCCCATGTGATCTACTGCAGACTTTGGCGTTGGCCTGATCTTCAAAGCCACCATGAGCTCAAGGCTGTCGAACGTTGTGAATATGCCTTTCATCTCAAGAAGGATGAGGTCTGTGTCAACCCATACCACTATGCACGAGTTGAGACTCCAGGTAATTCCTCTTCTAACTAACAACTGCACTTCCTAAACAAAACATTGAAGTTTATGCCAGGTTGCACTACCGGTATTTAAATAGTTACTCTGACCCCCAAATAAAATCAAAGGAACATGAAAAAGTTAAGAAAAATCAAACCACTGATAAGAAAGTTTAAATATGTCAATGGTATGAAGATACAAATTTAGCTGTTTTGGGTCACACTGGTTGTTGACTCTCACTTCCTAGCGATCGCATGCAGAGCAGTGACAAGTAGCACATGGGCGCTACTGAAAAAGAACCAGAGTGAGCAAACAGAAGGTTTTACAAAAGGGTTTACATGTAGCTTACTAGGTCTGATTGGAGAGACATCTTTTTCATGAATTTAGTTACATTTAGATCTACATGTATGTCTGTCTGGCTATGTGGGGGGAGCCACAGAGAGAGAGAGAGAGAAAATGCAATACTCAATACAGTTACATACATGTATCAGATGATTCAAGCCATCAGATAAAATTGTCCTTGTAATTGCATCATACAGATTTTAGAGCAAATATGGATTGCTTTAGGATTCTGAAAGGCTCAGCCAAAGGTTGACAGCTCTTGATTAAACACTTTTCTTATGACTTTTATATAATTTTGTTTTATTCTTCCTCATTAAAGTTTTTCATTTTTCCAAACCAGATGATTATAGAAGTCATTATAAAAAGAGACTTGCTTTGAAAGATTTGCGTCATCAGATTGTATCTTTTAGTATCGAGCACTAAATCTTAGAGGTTGATTGATGAATCATGATTTTCTAGTAGGCCTTTATTCAGTATAGTTGTCATAGCAACCAAAAGTTTCCTTTTGGAAGGAATAAAAGATAGTATCTTTGAATGGAGGTGATGAAAGTATTTAGTTCAATGTTGAAGTAGTCTGCCCTTAATACTTAAAGGCTAAGTCCACTCCTTTTTAATAGATGCAGAAAAACAAAAGAAACTAATCCAAAAAAAAATTGAATGAAATCGGATAACTAATAAGGAAGTTATGATTTTTAGTGCATCCACACAAAACATATTACGATCAATATAATTTCAATGCTGGTCAGCAAATTAGATTTTTAGGGGGAAAATTGGAAATTTATATATCATTAATTAGTCGATACTGAAGCAATGACGTCACAGACTCATGAGTGATTTGCCAATTTGTCTTGTGATTTTCAAAGTTTTTCATGTAAATAAAAATTCATAACTTTTGTATTAGTTATCCAATTTTGCTCAAACTTTTTTTTGATTGGTTTGTCTGATTTTTCTGCTTCTATTGAAAGTAAGTTATTTTTAGAGTGGACTTGCCCTTTAAAACCCAAGATATTACAAGAGAGCCAATGTTTTCAGCAGACAAGACAAATGTAGCAAACTTTTCAAGAGTTATTGATTCTCTTAAATGTGTTCTGAAGAACGATCTTTTCTGCAAACATTTTATTTCCCATAAATTGCTATCATGTTTTTAATCACAAAATGATGTTACTGAAACAAGGGTATGTTGTAATGGTACAGTACATGTAAATGTATATTTGAAGCAGTATAGTCTTGCTCAGTCAGACATGATGTTTAAAGCTTCCATTCAAAGAAATGTTGCATGACCATGTCACATGTAAATGTAGATAAATGGCAAGTGGAGTGAAACAAAAACTTGCATAGCTAATGTGTACGTATCTACGTATAAGCTGTGATGTGATCTACAGGTTTGTGACTGGCTCTATGCTAGTCATTTCATTTTGCGTTTTCCTTTTCTGATGCAGTTGTTCATGGCAAGGATTGTAAGAAATTTGGGTAATAGAGAATGTAAGAGAGATATAGACAGATAACATTTACATTAACAATTATTGGGGTAGAAAGATTTACATGTTATGTACAAACTGAACATACAATGTATGGTTAAGTATTTATATGGATAGGTAGCACTTGATGCTGCTTGTTCTGCTGGGCACCATGACCAAAGTAGCCAACTTGTAACTTAAAGGTAAAGATCAGTTTTGGAAACGCCCCCTCTCAAAAAATGAAATGGAAGCTCTTATTACCATTCATGTGAAAGAACATGTTTTGACTTTACGTGATGATACAAATTTTGTCGAGAAACCGCCTACTAATTGATATATTTGGTAAATTATTATATCTATCTGGACCGGTTTGATATCGCGCACGTACATCTTTCTGTGTACAGTGATCGTAACTTTACCAAGACTGAGCCAAATTTCACATCATTTTGATGATTCTAGAACCTCGCAGTACACACCAATACTTATATGCTAGATGATCAACCTTTTCTGATCGATTCCACAACGTTTCTTTCACAATGCAATCGCATGACCATAACTGGTCTTTACCTTTAAGAGGAGAAATGTTGCAAGCAGTGGAAAGGACAGAATGTACATGTAGCAGTGTAGCAAGTTGAAATAAGAAGACCAACCATGTGTGTATTTGGAATTTCTTGTGTCATCAGTCATCACCTTGGCTTGTTCTTAATTCGTCCAGCAAATCGTCATATAAGTGATCCTTGCTAGAAGGAAGCTGTCATCATTGCATATAATTACTTCATTACCGCTAGCATTTCATCAACCCCATAACAAGTGCCCTTCCTCTACATACCGAAGGATTTGTCAAGAAAGAAAAAGAAGACTAATGAATGCAGGAATATTGTATCCTCACTAAAAATACAACTGCAAGAGTTGATGAGAAAGGAATATCTGTAAAAGAAAAACATCCTCTCTCTTAAATTAGATTGACAAGCATGGATACTGGTTTTCATGATGAAGGAGAGAAGGATATCAGTAATTATTGGAGTTGACATGAGCCTGAATTTGTAGTTGACACAGTATAGCCTTGACCTTTGACATGTGTGTTATGATCCAGTTTAGAATCTATAGGGCCATTTACACTTGCATCCAAACACGCCAAAAATGCCAAACCGGAGCCTGACCGAGACGTTTCCAACGCGACTATGCTTTACCAGGAAAAATGCCAAGCCTGAAACATTCCAAACCGAAGTGTGATTTTTTTTGCGTGTTTCATTCACATGATAAACACATGACAAAAATATTTACATAATTAATAATTAATTATAACTTTGAATGTTTCTAACTTATATTTTATCAGATTTTCCTTTAAATTTCACTTGACTGATTTTAATACTTTTTTGTTTTAATAATAATAAATAAAAAAACTAAATTTTAGAGTGGACTTCGTGAATTGAATTGAATTGAATTGAACTTTATTTCATTCATCATAAAAACATCATAACAAACATATAAAATACAAAACATAGCATACAAGTTAAAGAGAAACATTTACAATACAATACAACAACAAAAATATATATGAATGTGGAGACAGCTAGAAAAGCCAAAGGCTTTATTGGTGCTGCCACCAAAACAGTTATAAAGTATAATACAGTATTATATTGTTGTTTGAGAGGGAGATTAAAAAAAAAAGCCTACTAGAGGGGGGGGGGGGGGGAAACAAAAACAAACCAAAAACCAAAAACCAGACCGTGTACATAATCAATCTTTATTTGACCAGCAAAGACAAATAAGTATTCAACCTGTTCCTTGTTATGAAAGGTTTGACTACCGGTATCATCTTTGAGAGAGTTACAGGTATTAGGTAACTTTGCCTCTGATTCTAAACAAAATTCTGCATTTAGCTCATCCTGCAATCATAATGATAAACCTTAAGGTCAGCAATGAAATCCATTACTTTTACAAGCCACTCACATGTTTGATTATCAAGATACTTTTCCCCAACAGTTTAGAACAGCTTTTTTAAACCTACAGTCTATTGGGGAAAATGAGTATGGAAAAAAACAGTCACTCAAAGATTTTTAGTTTTTTGAAGCACTTGATGATCACTGTGAAGCGCAATTTGTTTCCTTCTTCAATGTTGCACTATATCACAGACACTGATAACACGTAGGGCCATTCATCTCAGATTTGTAAAACTGGAAATATTGTTAAACAATGCCTTTAAGTCACATGAAGATGTCAAGTTGATTTGCTGTTACAAGTATCATTGTCCTTCCAGAAAAATGTCAAAACAGATTAAGTTGTGACTTCAGTGATTCAATGTTTTTCTGTTGTAATTGCAGATTACAACAGGTTGTCATAGTCATTCATCTCTGTCATAAATGACCAAAATATTTCCCTTGACTGTTTGTTGGTTCTCTGTGGAGCAGGCAAGACTTGATGCCGCGTCCACGGGAAAGCAACAAACAGTTTCTGGTGCCAGATAAATGCAAAACGGAAACATTGACCTCGGGTTGGATGTAGTAGCAGTTAGGAACATATTCATAAATTGATAACTGGTGAGGAAGTAGTGGCTAATTTTGCCACCCTTTGCTAATACACCTGCTCAAACTCAACTGGATAACAGGAAATTTCATTTTTGTTTCTATACCGTGTATGCTCAATGCTAGCTACTTATCATCTCTAAATATAGCAGCTACATGTAAGCCAGCTATATCCTAAGCCATTTTCTAAATTGGACACTGACTGTCATTGTACATTGAATTCAAATTACACATTCAAATTACACTTCCAGTTTGGAGACAGATTAATACACTTATTTATTTTGTATTTGTTCTAGTTCATGAGGGTACAATGATTTGTTCTTGAATATACATTAAAGCACATGGTACAGAGATGACATAATATTGTCATAGCATTAAACTTTTTTACATATACATGGACATGGATCTGTCTCTACAGATGTTACATGTACAAGAAACTCACCTCCATATTAAATAGACAGGATGTTTTATATTACACATGGTGTGAATGAGTGGTGTAATTAACAGGAAATATGTGTAACCAAGTATAGGAGCTAGGAACTTGTTTCACATTTCATAATAGTTGTATTTAAAGTTGAGTTCTGGTCATGCGATTGCATTGTGAAAGAAACGTTGTGGAATCGATCAGAAAAGATTGATCATCTAGCATATAAGTATTTGGTGATAATATCATACCGTATTTGCCGGCGTAAAGGCCACAGTATTTTTGGAAGAGAAAATATCAAACAGTCGGGGTGCGGCCTTTACGACAAAAGAGTAAAAAAAAAAAAAAAAACGAAAGTCAAAACCAACACGAATTTGCACGTATGGGACTAGAAACGGTAAAATAACAATACCACTATGGTACAGGACATTTTCAAACATCTTACCGACAATTTTATCTTGCATTGCCGATAATCTTGATCTAAGTTTGTGCCATTGCATTGCAAAGGTAAAGGAAGGGACAGTCTAACCAAGTCGCCATTTTGTTTTTCCATTTCATGCAGTTCCGCATTACACCGTACATTGTGGTAGGGTTAATCGGACACCAAATCTGCCTGCGATCACTTTTTTAGCTAAACTTCCGGTAAATCATAAGAATATGGATGAATTTGGTATCAGTTTGTAAAAAAAAATTAGTGTTTTCGAGAAAATTATGATTATTTTGTTTTGTCCATTTTTTTTTTTCCTTTTTTTCCCCCCGACTTTGAAATGTCAAAGTTGGGGGTGCGGCCTATGCGGCGGTGCGGCCTTATCGCCGGCAAATACGGTAATCTAAGGCCAAAAAAATTAAAAACATGTTTAGTGTCCTGTTTTTTTGAAAAATAGGAAGGAGGAGGCCCTTTTTTTTTTTTCTCAAAATGGCTGCTCAAAATGACCGCTCGGTACATTTTCCCTGACAGTTGGGCTATGTTTCAAGAAATCAGAAATAGATCCATTTTAGCAGTGTTTTTCATGTTTTTTTTCTTTAAAAAATAAAAAAAAATAAAAATAGGAGGCGGCCCCAAAAAAGGAAGCAAAGGGGACACTAAACATGAATATATTTTTTAATGGCCTAAGTACATTACTTTTTGGAGCTGATATGCAATGCAACAGGCATCACCTTTGCAAGCTCTTTCTCTCTCTTTTCCACCAGTACTGAAATAAAAGCAGCATTCTGGTACTACCTTCTATAAAGTGTGTTATATTCTATTGTTTTTAATTTCAAAATTGTCAAGCTATATATGTATAGACAATTGTAGGCAAGAACATTTAGTCGATGATATTGATCTATTTATTTTATTTGTTTTATATTGATAATAACATACATGTACTGTAAATGCATTTTGACTATCTTTAGTGAATTTTTTATTTAAATGGCATTTAAATTCATATAACTGCAGCATAATGTTTAAAGTGGCACCAGCAAACATTATGTACGCCTGCAACTAGGACTAGCTGAGCTCTAGCTGTAACAGCAGCTGCACTTGCGCCCGTGCCAAAGACAAGTGAGGATGCTATTGCACAGAAATTGCTGTGTGATGAATTTTGGGGAAGAACTGGCATGTTCAAAAACTTGTATATTTCAAAAGCCTATCAGTGATCATTCTGATCACTATTTTCCTAGTAAAGACTATATTTGACACCTCTGTTAAGAGTTAAAAATCATTTAGACTTACGCTTGCCCTTTAAAGGTACTATGTCCCATTTGCAGGCCAAAAAAATGAAAAGGTTAAATTCCAACGGCATTTGAAAGATAATACTAATTTAGAACTTCCCTGAAAAAAAGGGGGCTTGAAAATGATTATAAGTGGGAAAATAATGACCATTAGTTGTCGAATCGACTTAAAAGCTATAGAGCCAGTAAGTAAAAGTCTGATTTTCAGACCATTGTGCCGAATGGTCGTATATTTTATGCTGCGCATAGATTCAATCAGTTTAATTTTGGCCACTACAAGAAGTGGGTTATTGATGTATACAAATGCTCATGTACCCTTTACAGCTCATTTTATGAATGTTATTACCAAAGAAGAAAAAAAGCCAGTCAGTCACTCAATAGTGTCTGACAGTGAAGTCTAGCAAGTTGACGGGTTTCCTTGCATAATTTGAATATTAGGACACTGCTAACGTTTAAATTTCACAGAAAGGACATACCTGTACATGGACATACATGACATATTCCTAATTCCTGCAAAGTTCTACAGAAATTAATGTTGGCTGAAATGAAAATGAAGTACATGTAGATATAAATTTCAGTATCAACTTGTTATCTACTAGAGAGCTTTACTTATTTATTACCCACCCACCATTCCCACTCTTATCTGTGAACTCTACATTCTAAACCCCGCTGTCTTTGAGAAAGAAAGTGTGTGTGTGTGTGCAGAGGTAGAGGTGAGATGTTACCCAGTAGTTGCTGGGGCAACCAAGGTTCAAAGACCTTTTTAAGCTATCGGGGGCAACTCTAACTGGCATGAGAATGGAAATTGTTAAATGAGTACATGTACATTGTAGGTACATGTACATGTAAGTAAAGCTCACTCGTAGATAAAATGTCCGATACCAAACATTCATATAAAATTGATCACTTTTCTTGAACAGTTACACTTTCAGACAACAGGAAGTTAGTGATCTTTTTTACTTGATCTTGGTACTTGTCAGATTTGTGTCATGTATATGGAGAAAGGGAAATTTATAGTCATTTTTCGGAGAAGCAAGGAAATGACCCAGTTTGTTTCACTGTATTATGTAGATGCAATTTTAAACATGTGGTATTTAATGTAAATCCATATCAGTAGGATCATGACAAGGAAACTGAATTATGTGATAGATTAATACATGTTTCCAGTCGCTCTGATGTATTTTCTGTAGTGAAGGAAGGGGAGAAAAGGACAAACATGTTTAATGTTGCCTAAAGATTGAACTATGTTCAATATAATTCTTACAACCCATCAGAAAACATGACATTTGTATTCATTAGTCACACTGCCAAGCCAACTGATTTTGGCCATAGAAGATAATGTATATTCTGTTGTCAGTTTGGTTTTGGTCTAGTGTCGGTCGGTCTCCTGTGACTCGTGTACAGATGACTGGATTTACATGTAGTTTAATAAATTAATGAAACACCTTTGTTTTGTATTTAAGAAAGAAACATCATTTATTTTAAGATTAAAAGATCAGCTCTTAAAATTCTAGCATGTACTACTTGGTGCAATATATACATGTTAGTGCAACCTGATAAATAAAGACTAGTAGTAGATAACGTTTTTTTGTTTTGTTACAATGCTTCCTGTTCTATTGCCAAGTCATCTTACATGTATTGAATGCTATCATAAGGACTTGTAGATTGTGAAATATCTTTTCTTTTTGACCCACTCATTGTGTTTGGTTTGTTACAGTGCTTCCTCCTGTACTGGTGCCTAGAATAACAGACCAACCGCTAGATATCCCAAGAACACTACCCCATCTTGATGACCTGACTCATACAGTACCTGATAATGCTACCTATTTGGTTGGAATGGACACACAGAGTCCACAGACTCACACACTTCCTCCAGGTAAGTAAGAATATATATTCCTTTGCTCTGCTCTGCTCTGCTCTGCTCTGCTCTGCTCTGCTATCAGTGGGATACAAGTAGAAATATCAGTTAACAGCCTGGGATAACTTTGTTCATAACTGTATAGAAATAAATTTCTTCCTATCAGTTGTAATGAATTTGTCACTAAATTAGCTTCAAAATTTTGGAACATTTTCACAATCTTAAAGACTTAGAATGAATGAGTCAAAAGAGAAGTGCAGTATTTTCCTATCAAGAGAAAGTTTTCTTTTTCATATCTTTCATTTTAAATCCAGTAAATATACTCCTTGACTTCATATTTATGTATCTACCCATTAACAAAATATCTATTTTAAAGGGTTTAGGAATACTGTGCCATCAAATATATCTATAACTAAAACGGAAAGCCATTCAATATCATGTATATCCCGCCAAAGAATGAACAATGGCTCATGGCTGTTTTCATGTCCTGAAAATGAAAATTTACAAGTTTGATTTTGAAAGGCATGTTACTGAATTAATCTCTAATACTGCTAAAGAAATCTACAATTCATGGCAGGGATCATGTATCAATGCTTAACATTTTGGGTGACATTTCTTAACAGGTTGCAAATATGTTTTTTCGTAGAGTTAATGGGAAATAAATTTGTCACCTCTTGTCCCAATTTGTGCGTAATATGCAGACAAACAAGTGTTGACAACATTCACATCTTATTAGTCGACTTCTCCTCCATATTGAATGAACACTAGCAGGACGTGCTTGTACTGAGTCTAGTACAATGTCAGCTTCTAATGCACCAGCTACTTAGACCCCTGTCGCCTGCCAGTTGTCAGAAAACTTACTTGGAAAATTTCCAGGACTAAAAAAAAATGTGGACAATATTTTTTTTTCCTTTTAGGTAAAAAAGGTAAAAAAGTATGTTTGAGGATTTATCACAAACATATTCGTACTCCAGTGCTAAATGTATAATTTGTTTGCAACACAGTACTTGTTTTCAAGTTTTCATTTGTGATTGTTTGTTTAATTAAAAATTCCCAAAGTACCTGAGAAATATACATGTACATGCACCTGTACATAAAGTGCAATTTTAACATGACATTCGTAGCCAAGGATGAATGGAATTGTATACTCACGTTTTAAATCCAAAATGTGATTTGCTCTGTAAGCTACCAACATGACAAAATGCTCCACCTCCTTAACATAAACTTTTTCCAAGAATACTCTTAAAAATAGAAGCAGGAAAAGATAATGGTTGAATGAAAAAGGGTAAATAATAAATACATGTATGATTTTCAGTGTTATGTATGAAGCCTCATCTCTGGTTCTGTATCGTCATACACAGGCTAGATTGATGTTAATCCTTGTCTGGCTGTAGAAAGCCTCAGCTTAAATTTGACATTTCAACTCAGAAAGTATACAGCTCTTATCCACGATATCCCTATGAATTATTAAGACACATGCTAAATTTGTAATGTAAAGAGCTAAACAGGTTAATATCCTAGTCTAAAAAATAACAGGAATGGCTTTTGAGTTTTTGTGCCCTTACTATTCAATACGAAAGTGGATATTTTTGTGCTGCTGGCGGCTGCACACGTGCCTGCTACAATGCAAATTTCTGATAACTGACTTCTTCAGGTAACTTAGGATTTGGCTGATCGATACATGAATTTCTCTCTTTATCGGCTATCAGCTAAGAATACATGAGTTGGCATTACCTAATTAAAGTAGTTTTGTGTCAAATAAGCACATAATTTTGGAGTTACAGCATTTTAATGCTAATGACCTACTGCTTATTGCAATGGTGTACATCCGTGTTAAGCAGAACAGCGCAACACGCATATACCCTTTTGTCAGCTGCCTGCATGAAGATATGTTGGGAGAGGTAGGTTTACCTTGTTTGGCATGTTACGATGCAGACTCTGAGATTTCTAATACCGGTAGGTAGTCTGTGTAGAAAAGAGCACAGTGAGTGTAGGGGAGTAACAATGGTCACTTACTGGTGGGGACAATACATGTCTATTTTTATTTTGTTACTTGAGGTGATAATATATCTAATTTCCCTATTTTCATATTCTGAAATGTTGATTTGATAGCAGATGATGTTTGTTTGCATTGTTTAGAAACCCCACCTCCAGGCTACGTGAGTGATGATGGTGAGACAAGTGAGCAGAATATGGATACATCATCAACAAACGGCAGTGAGTTCATTATTATCATTATCATTCATTATCTCATAGTCATTTCTGTAAAACCAAATGTGACCAGGCACCACAAAACCACCAAAAAGTTGCCAAATATGATTTTATAGTTTAGGTGTGGTTCATAAAGAGGAGATCCACTTTCAAATGATCCAACTAATCACAATTGATGTTTCTAACCCAATCACAAACAAGATGAATGTGTAGTCTTATAGAATGTTCTATAGATCTATCAAGGTATCTCCTCCCAGCATGGAGGTTCATTGCATCATTTTCCACACATTTCTGTTCTTTGCCACTCATTCAAGTGCAATCTTGCAGTACTTGTCATTCACTCAATGTCTTAATGTTCCCCTCTCGGTTGGATTTTGGTTTCCATTTTGGTCTGGTACCTTCTATTTTTCCTTCTATTGAACAAATCTTTCAAGAGATAGATGTCTTTTAATATAGCCAAAGTATTTTGTGTTTCTTTCTTTTAAACCACTCCTAACAGAAATTTTGTTAAAGTGCTGCTATTTGCAGTATTTCTCTGTTAGTTTTCATGTCTTTCTATGATATTCTTAATGTTCCATTAGAACTCTATTAGGAGAATGTTACTGTAGAGAAAAGGTCATTTCAAATCCATTGTCTATTCGCGTACTTGGCCTCGCAAGAGGTTGTTCAAGGTGACAAAAGGAGGATTAGAACACTAAAACTGCAAGAGTGCACCAGAATAGCAGAAGATAGAGTGAAATGGAGAGATGTTGCAATCAACCACCGAACTGGGAGAAGATACTTGGATAGATAGATAGAAAAAAATCCTGTGAGGGGATGATCAAATTGTCCTCAAAAGTGGCACAGATTAAGCTCATTCTGTTCTTTATTCTGCCCAAATAAACTGCAATAGCTTACCCTATTTCAAACCACTATGAGATCATATTGAGACCATATTGAGACCAGTGGCCAGGGTCATAAAGAAACTAAAATTACCACACCAACCTCCAGGTCCAACGTCTACAACAACTGCCCAAAATGTGGGTATAGCCTACAGTCAATATAAACAGAAAGATAACCAAAAACAACAAGGGAAGGTGAATGATATTTAAAGGTACAGTTTTTGTAGAAGATTATTATGGTGAAACGTTTGTGTGTGAATTTGCCAATTAGATGTTAAATATATATTAATATAAGAAATATATGTAAATCCCCTTATTATATCATATTTTCTGAGTCACATTAAAAAAAAGAAGTAAAATGATTTTTAATATCAAATCTTCTGACTGATGTCATTGAAGATGACATGAATATACATGGATCACATCTTGTAAAATATGTTTTTATCATTTTCTCTCAACAGGTAGTACAGCTCCACAGTCTTCAGAATCTCTTGGTAAGTCAATCTCTTCGTTAATCTTTTTCAATTAAAAAAAAAAAAATTGAAGATGAATTATAAATAATGATAATAGATCACATTTATAACGCGCCTAATACTTTGTTGCTATATATATTATTACCCCAGTCATTGGGATTCAGGCTTAACTGCACACAATGTATGCACATTCTCCACTCCTTGAGGAGCATTCTGGCCAGTCGCCATTTTACAAGCGCACACTTGCTCATCCAACCACATTAACTTTCGCATCCTACCGGGTACCCATTTAACACCTGGGTGGAGAGTGGCAAATGTAGATTAACATCTTGTCAAAGGACATTAGTGCAGCAGCTACTCTTGTCATCCCCACTTGCCATTTATTTAATTAAAAACTTAAAATAACACACCACTGTTAGCCATGGCATACGTGAACAAATGTGATACTGATGAGTTAATTCGATAATTGTTTGGATTATTTGAAAAGATATACTTGTACTCTTTGTTAAGAAAGCATATTACAAGAATGTTATGTTTTGTTTGACAGATTTGCAGCCTGTGTCATATTGTGAGCCTCCATTCTGGTGTTCTATTGCTTATTATGAGATGAATCAACGAGTTGGTGAGACGTTCCATGCATCTCAACCATCACTAACCATTGATGGATTCACTGACCCATCAAGCTCTGAAAGATTCTGTCTTGGTCTTCTCTCTAATGTCAATCGAGATCCTCAAGTTGAACAGACACGCAGACATATTGGTAAACATCGCATTATTTATCACCTCAACATTTGGGAATTTGACTCAAGTTTTGCAATTCTGATTCATAGATTTGCTTTGTAACCTATTTGTTTTGAGGGAGGGTGGGCAGTGGTGACACATTTACAATATCTGCTTGTTACTAAATCTGCTCAAGATTATATAAAAGATTATTTTAACATAAAATTTTTGTTTATAATCTACCAAAATTATGAAAAAGGAAAACAAAATATTTTTAAGGCATCCAAGATAAAAATAAAAGATGTAAATGTTGTGTGTTATGAAAGAATTCAGTTGGATAATATGTAAATCTTGTTGTATTTTCAGGTAAAGGTGTAAGGTTGTACTACATAGGTGGAGAGGTATTTGCTGAGTGTTTAAGTGATAGCAGTATCTTTGTTCAGAGTCCTAACTGTAATCAGAGATATGGATGGCATCCTGCTACAGTCTGTAAGATACCGCCAGGTAAGCTAGCTGCGGCTCAAGGTTAATTCATTTCTGACAAGGCATAGGTGAAATTTGTTGATAGCTTTCAAAAAATTCCTTTGTAGAAAACTATCACAATAGTAACGTCACATCAAAAAAGTATGCTCTTATGTTACCCTTATATTTAAAATAAGATCAGAAAGATTTTAAATTTTAAGACCAGATTGTGATGCTTTGTGCGCTTGTAGTCTTATATTTCCCAGTGCAGCGCTATTCTCTTTGGTATGTGATGTACATCATGAGTCAAATGATTGGTGGATTCTAAAAACTAGAAAATATACATTATGCTGTTCTACATAATTAACCTTTCCTAATTAATTCTAGCAGTTTCTTTCACACAACATTACCTGGAGGGTGTTTCACAGAGACTAAGATTGACTTAAATAGGACTTGAACCAGGCCGTTCATGCCACTGTCTGCTCTCACCATTCCCTGCCATTGCCCTCTCAAGTGACGTACAAATCGTGGTCACAAATCCACATTTTTTATCTTCAACAATGAACTATCAACAAATGTAAATTCTGTAGATTCGTGATGTCCCTTGAGAGACCAATGGTGAGAGCAAACAGAGGCATGAATGGCCTGCCATAGTTAAGTCCAACTTATGTCAAGCTTAGTCTTTGTGAAACAACCTCAGTACTTGGTTAATAGGACTAGTGTTGATCACATTCATTGAATTGTTCTACTCTCTAGGATGCAACTTGAAGATTTTCAATAACCAGGAGTTTGCAGCACAGCTTTCTCAGAGTGTGAATCGAGGTTTTGAGGCTGTCTATCAACTGACACGGATGTGTACCATCCGTATGAGCTTTGTCAAAGGATGGGGTGCAGAGTATCGACGTCAGACGGTCACCTCTACACCATGTTGGATTGAACTTCATCTGAATGGACCTCTGCAATGGTTGGATAGAGTTCTTACACAGATGGTTCCTCCTGATAAACAGTGCTCCAGCGTGTCTTAAGATGGAGCCATCCCTATCTACTACATCAATTCTAGGTGCTAACTTGTACATTGTTTGATAGGCAGCTCTTCTTGAAAGACTTTACAGACTCTTTTAACAGCCCATGTTAGGAGATAACAGGGCTGGCTGGCTGGCTGGGGGGCTGGTATGGAGATGAGCTGAGCATGAGCTGTAGATAAAGCTTTTAAAGACAGACTTGAAGAGACTGGAGTTTGATCATAGAGAGAGATCACCAGAAAGAAGAAGAGTTGGAGTTCAGACTGGTTAGAGAAATGACGCTTGTCTTCTCATTATTGTTTGTATCTTTTTCCTCTATCATACATTTTGATCTACATGTTTGTATGATGTCACCTGTATATACCAGGAGGATGGTATTGACTTGTCATCAAAAGGAGTCATGAAATCTAAAGGTACAGAACGAGAGTGTACATGGCATATTGAAGCAACTTGGTTATTATCATTGTCGTGTAAGGATTGGTCATCGTATAATGTTACAATGGTAGTCATTTAGAGGGTCCTTCCAATTCAGTTTCTAAGAGAAGTTTCAATTCATTTAGGAATTCTAATGAAATATTACAATGCATTTTTAAAAAAAATTAACTGATTTTTGTAAATTCAAAATATCTTGCCATGTGCTGGAAATATATGTACTATGCTTTTTTTTTGGACTAAGAATACGAAACAGACACATGAGAACGCTAGTTGAATGTGTCTCACTAAGTTTGTGTGTAGGTGAGTGGGCTTCATCTGCTACTTTGCAGACTCTCAATCTATAGGCCCACAGTTATTTAATACAAAAAAGGAAAAAAGAATTACTTGTTGAGAATTCTGTCTAAGTTGGGACTGTAGTGGAGAGTAAGGTGACAAAGTGTTGATAGAGAAAGAAGGCAGACAGATGGCTAGTGAATGATCTAGCCAGCAAATGTAAATTTTGTACATAATTTGTTCTCTCTTTTTTCAGTATAAATATACAAGCAAGCATATGTGTATCTATCTGATGTGGATAACTAGTTCTTTGTACAGGTCTGTTTATCACATGTAGATGACCTTGGTTTTATCATGACAAGTGTATTGTGGATTTCTTGCCTAGAGAGATATTGTTGCAACTCTGACTGACTACATGAATAAAGTTTTGTTATTGAGGAGATCGGATTTAAGGTTAGGAAAAACATAGAATAGGCTCTCTAAGAATTCATGCAACATAAGTAAATATCTTAAATAGTTGTGAGATTTTGAAGTTACATGTCAGAAGAGAAAGAAAGTATCAATCACTTGATAGTCAGTCCCAGTGCCAATGTGGTGAATATATGGGCGGTGCTTAAATACTTATGCACATGAAGCTACAATCTGACTGAACAGAATATCACTTGGAAGGAACATCACTTGGAAGGAACATTTAACAAATATTCAGTCGGGTTGATATTGGTATGCATCTTATGTTCAAAACATTCAAAGTCTAAACGATTCAGATTTTTTTTGTTAATAGCGTTGATTTTTCTTCTCAATCTCTAGCCATATTGCTTCCACAATAAAAGAGTTAAACTGTAATGCTTGAATTAAAAATAGAACATATGGACAGAACTAGCCTCTATCAAAGTAGAAAGTTTTGTGTAAAACAGAATATGATTCTAACACAGAGTGAATGACCATGAATGTAAACTACTTTCAACCAAATAATGTGCTGCGGTGTAAATTCTAGATAACTTTCAATATATTTTCGTGAAGAGATAGAGAGATCAGTGAAGAAAAAAGAAAGAAAGATTTAAGATAGATAGGTTACATAGTAAATGATAACAGAAAATATCTATAATCTATGAAAAATTGCATATTTAGGAATAGAAAATATTTTTGTTAGAGATTAGATTGCAAAAATGTATTAATATGAGCAGCTGAATGAGGGTGTAGCCTGGGTATGATGAGGGCGTATCCAGGGCATGAATGAGGGCGTAGCCTGGGCATGAATGAGGGCGTATCCAGGGCATGAATGAGGGCGTAGCTTGGGCATGATGAGGGCGTATCCAGGGCATGAATGAGGGTGTAGCCTGGGCATGATGAGGGCGTATCCAGAGCAGGAATGAGGGCGTAGCGTGGGCATGATGAGGGCGTATCCAGGGCATGAATGAGGGCGTAGCCTGGGCATGATGAGGGCGTATCTATCTCATAGATACAATTGTCATATATTGGGCAGGATTGTACCAGAGCCATCCATTTGAAATGACATGACACAAGATCATTCAAGGTTCAGTGGGTGGGGCCAGTCAGTCAGTAACAGTCATTAAGTGAAGTAGTTTTCTCACAAGATGTGGTTTATCACACCAAGTTTCACACAGAACGCTGCATTTGTCAAACAATGTATAACCCCAAAAAGGACGCTATTGTTTCAAAATGCCTTCACAAGTTTGGCGTGATATTCTCTAATATATTTTGGTTGAATTATTTCCACTTGGCTTTATGCATAGTTAAGCTATAGATGACTTTCAAATTTGTCAAAAAAATTAAGTTAACAACAACTTTTCTTTGACTGGAGACAACATGGCATACCTATTACTATCAATGATTAATGCATGCTGATGTTTCATATCAGGCATGATAAGGGATGGATGGATGGATAGGGTAGTGAGGCTGAAATAAAAATATTGCTGAAAACTGATAACAAAAATATAAATGGTCTGTATGCAAGGGATAGATGAATAGTTTTGACTTCTTAAATTGTCCTCCACTTCATAGAGCAACACTGAATTGGACATGAACAATCTGATCTAGTATTAACATTTCTCAAGCGTGGGTATATAGAGGGCAGCACACGGACGTACGCACGGGAGCATAATACCCATTGGCTCAGTGTTATGTAGTGATCACCAAGTTGCCTACTTCACGAACCACTATATACCCACGCATGAACATCTTTCATATCTAGAAGGAAAACAAAAAACAAAACCACCCAACAAATAAACAAACGAATGCCACATGTGTTGGTAAGAGAGTTTGGCAGTGATGACATGTATTATGTATATATATATATATATCATATAGACAAATGTATAATGTATGTTTGTATACTGTGTATGTATGCTTTTTCTTTGCAGCATTTAATGATAGTAAACAAGAGAAAATAGTTACTTAGATGTATAGAGTCGCTTAGCGAAAGATCTATTTTATTGTGGTGTACCATATGTCCCAAGTAATGATGGCACATAGTGCTCAAAGAGGTGTGGAAATTTATCAAGTGTATGGTGGAGATGTTTTAGAGATTGGATGTAAAGATTAACCATACAGAATCATTTTGCAGACTGGAGCTTTATTTCTTCATCACATTAGTTTAGCCCATCTATATAAGTGAAATGAATATGTATAGTTTGGCTCATTGCACTTTATATGTAGCGTGTAGTAGGACAGGTTTCTTTCTCTGTTTGCTCATCTTGAATGTGTGTCAGAGACACTTATTGGAATCCTGTCTGTCTGTCTGTTGAGCTCAAGTCAAACTTGGAAATGGAAGTCATTTATACCAGTCAATATATTCTTACATCTGAGCTGTTTGCAAGAGAGGTGTGCTGCCAATTGTGGCATTTGCTTTTGTTACCTACAATACTTACGCATGGTCGTTGAGAACATAATCAAGACTTTCAGAGATTGAGAAAGCTGCAGTAAATTCCCAAACTCCCTGATTGTATTGAAGCCAAGCCATGCTAGCGATATGATGATGATTGATTGATGGGGCTGGTGAGTGGAACTCCAAAGTGTCTATTTTAAGTGCCATGGATATAGCTGAAGATGAATTCCACCAAAGAAGTAACATCTGGCTTACAAATAAAACTCTTTGTGTGCAGAAAGTATGCAACAAAGTGAAAAGGATACTTAGAAAATAAGATAGAGTAAGATGCATAATCAAATGCTGCCTGGTGTTTTTTATCCAGTAGAGTTGATAAATTATATATATTTTTTCTTCTGATTTTCATATTTTGTTGATTCAATTTGTATAATTGTGTAGCATACGTGAATCGTAGGAAGAGAGAGCATTGATCATATCTTAGTTATAAGTCTGAGCAAAGAATTATTCTAAGTATATAAGTCCATGTATGATAAATTCTGTGTCATATAAATGTTCTTTGATTTTACCATGTAACAAAAAAGCCTAAATAAACTTAAACTTGTATGTGCATGCATGAAGAAATTCTGATGTTTTTTATCTTGTCATTTAATGTCATGTGTGTAGAGAGAGAGAGAAAGAAAGAATGGTGTAGACTGTATCGCATTAAGAGGGAGTGATGGTACATGTATTTGTAAAGGGACAGAAAAAGAAAATGAGAGTTTTGCTGGTGTTTGTGAGGGGGGGGGGGGGGGTATTAAATGAGATAGCATCAAGAGGTAGGAGTGGTATTCGTTCAGGGACACAGGGAGAGAGAGAGAGAGAAAGAAGGGGGGGGGGTATAAAATGAAAACAATGGGACATTAGTAAAGGGAATTGATTCAGGTTATGGTAGAGCTCAATGGGGATAAGACGACGGGGGTATAGAAGAGAGTAGACTTGACTGGAGAGGGAGAGGACAGAGTAACTGCAACAAGGCACACAATATAGTGGAGGTACATACATGTACAGGAAGGATCAAGAGCAAGAAGACAGGATAGAGGTATATATATATATATATATAGAAGTATACATAAAGGAAGAAAAAGGAGATAAATCCATTATTATAATTTATACTTTTCTTTACTATGGATTTATTTCTACATGCTATAAATAATCAAATATTGAACACTAAAACAACAAACCAAAATGAAGACAAAATTGAATTAATGTGATTTATACAGATGGCAAAAAATGAAGATCATTTATTGTCATAAAATACTGAAGGTTAATACATGCCCACAATGGCAATCGTTATTGTTAGTCATATTCACTTGAATTTTTTACAAAAATATGAGAGTTAAATGCATGTTCTCTTCCTAAATCTCCCAAAATGACATGTTTTGGTTGACTTTCTACTCTACTTCATCTATCTCTACAAAATACACAAAGGACAAATGATTCTATCTTATAACCCAATAATGTTTGACCTGTACACACTGCCATACTCTTTGGTTAATGATAACATACCATTTTTTAATACTTTAGCAGCAATTTTTTGATTGTTTTTCAAAAATAGATTTCACTTTCTTTAAAAAAAACAGTACCAGTAACCGTAAACAGCATCTAAAAGCTCATCTTGAATAGAAAAGAATCTACATAAAAAGTCACAATTCTAGTAAAATATCACATCTACATTGGCAAATTCAAGGCAATTTATAAGAAGGACGCAATAAATATAATAAATTGACCTAATTCAGCTTTCTTTAATGAGATGATGTGTGTACAGGCATAGTGTGGACGGAAAAGCTTAAAAATAGCATTTAGATGCTACATGTCATGTTCAGAACATCCATGAATTTAGTGTATATCTCCTATCTGAATGAACAGAACACTGGGTAATATGATGTCAAGAGCTATTATTCAGCAATCAAGAAACAAACTAAATACTTTCATGTTGAAGTTGACCATATTTATAATCTTACTTTTTGAATTGTTATTTTGTGCTTCATCAGAAACCTGAAGACAAACAATGGTGTGCAAAGTATTCCAAACCTGACATTTCATAAGAATAACTAATAACAGGATGAGAAATGATGGGTAGTAAAGATTGAAGCCTATAAAATAATGAGGGGGCCTAGGGTTTTTAAACAAAATTTTGATTTACCAAATATAAGAATAAATACCACACTGATAATACATTTTCCCTTGTACAATCCGAATGTAAGAATCTATGATAAAGACACTTTTGCTATGCATAAGGTAAGGTAATACAAAGTTTTGGGAAATTTTGAAAAAAGGGTGGATAGGGATTCTTTACAATTTTGATATATTTGGATGCCCCTGTTGATGTATTATAAGCACTAGAAAATTTAGCCCCTAATACACGTCTGTTTTCGAGAAAAATTGAATATAAACATTTACCGGTGCTCCCGGTAAATGTTGATAAAATTTGAAAAGCGCCTACGGCCGTACAATGGTAGCTGCGACTTTGAAAATCTCAGAACATGCAGTTGTGATATATAATTTCCAAACGGGAAAAGCTAATCGGTCGATTTTAGTCAAGAAACATTGTTTTATAGCTTAAGTAATGTCTTGACCTTGAGAGGGAGCTATACAACAAAGAGTTTATTATCTACAATTTCATAACTTTCGACTCAATTTCAACCGCGACAACAATCACTGAATATTGTAGTATCGCATATACTTCCAATATGTTCATTTGCACCAAATTCATGACCCCATACCAAAACTTTGTATTACCTTTAAACTCTGTATTTTGACTTTTACAAATACTGTAGTGTTTTACAACAATAACAAATACGGGATAAGAATGGTTCAAAATAATATTCTCTTATAATGAAATGATTTTTTTTTTTTGGAGCTCAAATGACCATTTCTATAGAAGATATTTGGTGGATGTAGACATGTATATTTACTTCATGATTGTTAATGTCAGCACTTCCAAAACCTCATATTTGGGCAATTAGGACACCATTTGTTTTAAGGCTTTGCCAGTACTATTGTATTGTTCACCATTAGATACTACCTTTGAATTCTATATTTCAAAATCAAAGAGCATACTGGATAGCCTGATTCTCTGTTTTAAACCCTTCAAGTCCTAATATTTGTGAAGGTGTTATTTTGCACACCACTGTTCATTACAATGAGATGATAAATACAGCATCGTCTTTTAAAGGTAATACCAAGTTTGGGTAATATTTCAACAGGATCGGATTATGAAATTTAAAATTTGCATTACCATTGTGAAACCTAGTGTTTATTACAATAAGCAACTTTGAAAAAATTGGGCTCTAAAACACTAAGGATTTCTAGAAATTAAATATTGTAGGATCGCATATGCTTCCAATATGTTCATTTGAATCAAATTCATGACCCCATACCAAAACTTTGTATTACCTTTAATTCAAGCAAAGATTTCTTTTTATCTTTCCACACTGAAAGATAAATCACACACACAATGCCCCCCCCCCAAAAAAAAAAAAAAAAAAAAAAATCCTGGTTCTCTAGATCCAATACTGCATTACTTTTGACACATTTCAGGTACGCTCAATTCAATTCATAAATCAATTCGCTGGGTGAGAGAAGGTACGCTCAATTCAATTCATAAATCAATTCGCTGGGTAAGAGAAGGTACGCTCAATTCAATTCATAAATCAATTCGCTGGGTGAGAGAAGGTACGCTCAATTCACTTTATAAATCAATTTGCTGGGTGAGAAAACATGAAGACTTATGTACATGAAATGCATGAACAATTGAATTAAAAAATTACTTGAAATATAATGTCACATTTTGAATCACAGATGATTCAGATATACCGATTACTGCATTGTTTCATGTTTTTGTTGAAGTGTGCTCTAAAGGATGCTCAAGTACAAACAATATTGAAGGAAGACACAAACAACTAATAACATAAAATATGAATAAAAATCTCTTTCAGCCTGTCTGTATGTAATCACACATGCAACCATACATACTACATACATGTAGAGGTACATACTATTTACAATTATACACAAATAAGGAAAAGAACAACAACTGATGAATATATAGTGAGAGGCATTAATATACAAAACCACTGTTAACAGTGTTCAGGTCTAAACTAACACACTTCATTCGTTATTTACAAGATATGACAATGAGGAAATGTGAAGGTAAACAAGTTCTATGCTGTCAGTGACCACTCAAATTGACAGTACATGTACAATCATCTCTTTCCTTGATTCAACATTATTATAAGAATAGGAATTTATTTCTTAAAAAATAACTGAAGTCTGAAATCTAAATTACTAGATAAACCCATCTTGGGTTATACATAACTGTTCAAAACATTTATTTTTCAATTTATTGATTACATCATTATGATTACACCATAGTATGCAGTCTTCAAAACCATTTAAAATTCATGATAATCAAAGAAAATTTAGGATAAGTGAGCATAATTTATTAATGTTTGTTGCTTAAACTGGAACTAACTACTGACACATAACCCAACTTTGAAAGTATCTTTACTTTCATACCACACACAAAGACTACATTTAAAAATGGAAATTTGTAATACATTTACAATTGAAAATCCTTTCCAAATCTTATAAAATTCAAAGTTTGTATAAATGTTATTCTTTAAAGGCACATAGTAACAAGGCATCATGTTTTAAAAATTAGCACCGTGAAAAGCAACAATTTCTATCATTATCTGAATACTTGTCTCATCATTGCAAAATGATCTTAGAGCACACAAACTTACATTCATATTTTTGGCATTCATACATTGTTGACAATTTGATATTTATACTGCAATTTGCACAGGTGAATTTTCTTCATAACAGAATAATAACACATAGCAAATATAAAGGGTTGGCAAACTGTACATAATTCATACCTTTAGGGTTCATAATACAACATTTCTTGATGTGTTATTGAATACAGTCTGAAGTTCTTTTCTTTGGCAAATTCATTGAAGTAGAATGAACACAAAGGGTATAATTGAATTGGACGATGAGGATTAATATTGAATACTTGTTATCTGAATACATCCTATGTTGAATTGGCTGGTATCAAATGCAATACTTATGTTGATCATACAAGCATTATTGATCAAACATTCATGTTTTTTTTCTCAAATGGAGAGATAATGGTTATCTACATTGATAAATGAAGCCTAAATTTTACTAGTGAGCTCAACATGACAAGTCTGAGAATTATCACTGTTATTTAACCCTTTTGTTTTGTTTACATATTTCAGTTTTGTGATAACTTATGATTGGTGTTCATAAGGTGTCCTACTGTAAGCTTATATTCATATTCCATGGAAATACCCATTTATCTAAGACCTCATTCACTAACAGGGAAATTAAAAACAATACTGTTACACTTTGTAAAAATATACATAGCACAGCACATAACAGCACACAATACATAGATACAAACATTGGTGTATCTATTAGAAGCACACATGTTTATTGAGGTTAAACTGGTATTCAAATCTTTCAAGTAACTGTAATGTGTACATGTTACCAGGGGAGTGTTTCACAAAGATCCTAAGTAGAACTTAACACTAAGTTGGACTTAAAAAGTATGGACAGCCATTGGAGCCTTAAAATGAAATATATTCAAAAGCAAAAATTGGAGTATTTTAGACTTTTCATCAATTCCACATCAAGAACATGAAATCTCCCATGATAATAGAAAATATGAATGATTTGAATCAACATTTTATGCCTTCTAAAAAAAAATTAAACAAAATATTTTCAAGGATGCTAATGGCTTCCCATAAATTTTAAGTCCAACTTAGAGATAAGTTCAACTTAGGATCTTTGTGAAACACCCCCCTGAACCCATAGGGCTAGTTTAGGTACATGCAATATTCTTCATACATAATAATTGCTTCAGATCACGTTTGCTTCTGACATCTTGAGAAGATTTTATTGTGCCATAGAGGGAGCACACACATGATTCTAAAATCAAAGTATTTTGATGAACAGAATTTTTTTCTATTTAATCATCTTTTCAATGGAAGCACAAAATATCTTGACAAAGTAGATTATGAATTCCATATTTTCAAAGTAAACATTCTTCACTTAGTATGTTTACTTCCTATAATGTTCATATCAGTAAATTGAATCAATTGGATGGAGCACACGGTGTAGAATACAAAGGCACACAAGTTTCAAGGCTTTTAATACTGATATAATTTTGTAATAGCAAACTGGGACAGCCTTTAAACTAACTCTTATGACACCTCTCATAGGAGAGAGTGAGGTTTCAGACCCTGTCCAGGCCAGGCAGCACACTTCACAATAAAAACCTATTACATTACAATAGGTGATGTTTCATTATTTTCATGACATCAAAATAAATACACACGCAAAAAATACAACAACGAGCAAACAAAGGATTGGCAAATTGTACATAATCAAGAATGAAATGTATCATTTGTTATGAGTTTAAAATGAAAACATTTCTTAATGTGGGTCTTAAATTCTTTCCTTTGGCAAGTAGTTCTCTGTAAATAATGATGCCAAACTGGAACAGCCATTCAAATAAGACAAACACAGACCCACCAAGAGAAGGGGGACAGCCTGTCTGTACAGGCAGCACACATTAACAACAAACCTCTTAGGGTACAAGAAAACATAAAGCTATAGCCTACTTTGTCTGTATCTGTGTCTTGAACTACATACAAGGCCACAATTATAGTAGAAGTAGTATACTTCATAGTGAGTATGGTACTACATGTACCATCTTATCTGCAGACATTTCTAGTAATAATTGGAAGCTCATTAAGCAGCATTTTGTTCACATTTCTTTGGGCTTAATTTGAAAGAAAGTCTGGATCTCTCTACCCTAGAAGATGTGACCCTGAGATTTACATGATTGAAAGGAATCTATTTTCCTCTGCTAAGGAGGTAAGCATAGAGGACATGTCAGTAACAGCCATATTAGAAATGGTAGGATTGACGACATTCTCCTGTTGAGGATAACCTGCTGAAGCACCCTGTGAGTTGTATGGCATCTTATTCTCAGTTTCACTTTCCATGGTTTCTGGTACTATCTGCTGAACATGATCCAGTGCATCAGAGTTGAGTGCTGCTAGCATGTTTGCAACGGGATCATTTTCACATTCCATAGCTCCCATTGGAGCATGTGGTGGCTGCCTGGGTGGCTGCCTGGGTGGCTGTGGTAGCTGTTGTGCTTGTTGCTGGGGCGGCTGCTGGTGTTGCTGCTGGTTGTAAGGGTTGCTCATTGCATCCACAGTACTGGTAACCTGGTTGCAACCTGGAGACATTTCCATGGTGGAAGGTTGTTGCATACTGCAGTTGACATGTTGCTGTTGATGATGGCCACCCATGTGCCTATTCTCCTGTTTCATATGCTGAGGGAATCCTGGGTTTTGTGAGTTGTACACTGGCTGCTGCTGGTGGTGTTGTTGTTGTTGTTGTTGTTGTTGTTGAGCTTGCTGGGCTGCAAGTTGCATACCACCATTGTTCATTTGAGTATTACGTTGCATGTTGTAACCACCTTGCATCTGGTTATGACCTGGATGGTTGTTACCATGAGGTTGATTGAAACCTCTACCACCATCACCACCACCACCACCAGCAGGCATCTGTCTCTGTCCAGTCCATTGCATCTCCTGCTTACATTGATCATCGAGAAATTGGACCATCTCATCAGGGAACATGAACTCCTCTGGTCCTCCACTTCCACCGGTATCCATACTCTCTTCAGGGATAGTCCCATGTTCATAGTGATTCTGAGGGATGTTCTGCCATTGCTCCCTTCCTGATCCTCCATCTTGTTCATGTATTGTTGGTGGATGATGAATGTTGTGGAACGCAGGTCTGAAATTCTTCATATTTTCTGGTAGTGGAAGTGGTTGCTTGTTATTGAATGAGCTATAGCGCCTGTTCATGTGTGAGTTCTGGTTAGAGGATATGGGTTCACTGCCTCTACGTATTTCATTTCCTGGAATCTCATTCGGTAGAGGAGTCCTTGGAGGATGGGGTGGCATACTGGCCACACCACTCAATCTCCTATAACCTGGAGGTGGCATTGGTGAAGGGGTCATTCCAAACCTTTCATCTCCACTATTCTGTTGCATTATAGTCTGTTCATACCTAGCCTGCAGGGAGCGTTGCTGTGCCAGTGTTAAACCTGGAAGTCCTGTTGGACCATTCAGACTACTCGCTTCACTCGATCTCCGTGATGATCCAATAGAGATAGGGTCATAGGGAGAGTTCATACCCATATGACCAGACCACTGTGATGCTCCAGATGTTCTTCTTGAGGACATTGAAGACATGTATGAACTGGCCTGGCTTGACCGTCTGCTTGAGAACTGACTTCCCATGAAGAATGGGGAAGCCTCTGATGACCTACCACTGAAATACGAACTGACAGTGCTATGGTCACTGCCTCGTCTGTTCCCCAGGTTGTCCAGATTGCCTGTCATAGACTGAGAGCTATCGCAACGCTCCTCAAAGATCAGTTTCTCAATGTTACGAGCCTTGGGCTTGTAGTCAATACCATCTGCAAAAGAAAGCAAACAAATAAAACTCAAATGAAGTCAAATAAAAATCTAAGAAGCCATCTGATATTCTTACATCAGCTAAATAGTCTGATTAAGTTACTGTCACAGGAAAAATGACACAAACACGAGTCCCTGCATTACTCGAGGCTCATCAATGATTTGATGTCTGGGTGCTTGTGGTAATCAAAAGCTTATGCTACGTTTACACTATGTTCCCGGTGGCCACGGCAACCACGTTTCAGGCCACCGTGGACGAAACGGGATTGACGTGACACAACGCGGGGGACCGTATGGGCAAACGTGACAGGCCGTGATTGCCGTGGATACCGTGTCAGATTTTTAAACTTCCAAAAAATTTGCCACGGCAGTCACGGTGCGGATGAGGAACCTATTAGGCCGTAATAAACAGGGGTGAACGTAACAAAACGTGACAGTCCGTAATAGGCCGTAACAAAACTTGGGGGTGGTCCGTAGTGGGACGGTTTAAGCGCCCGGCACGCTACGGCGCGTTGCGTTCTACTACGGTCTGACACAACGCGAGGTCTCAGAATACTATGATTGCTATTGCTTGGGAGACCTTCTTTTTATACCGCCGGCACAAACGTGCTCCAAAGCTGCCCTGCGTCCACGTTTCATCCGTACAAAGCCTTGACAGAACGTGAAAAACGTGTCAGACCTTGATCAGAACGTGGGAAACGTGAGGGACCCCATCAGAACGTGACGGGCCGGGAGGGAACGTTCTGGTATCCGTGGTAGAACGCGGGCCGAACCGTAGTGCGCCTTGGAGCCTCCGGGACTCAGCACCCCATTCCCCCCACGGCCCGTCACGGATACCGTGGTAGACCGTGAGAAAACTTGGCAAGACGTAACAAAACTTGAATCCAGAGATAAAATTGGTCTAAATCCCACGGCGCACTACGTTTCGGCAAACGGGGCTGCCGTGGTCGCCGGGAACATAGTGTAAACGTAGCATTAGTAATTAGGACCTTGCTCCTCCTATAGAAATCATATGGATTTCACTTTGTAAAAGTTTCAGAAAACAAAAAATATACTTGTTTCATTCAGGAAACATAAATTTTAATTAGAATGACTGTCAATAAGATGGCCCCCAAAAAGGCAACAACACTTTTAGGTCTAGCCCTAAATTGGTATTTGTACTCTCATGTGATGTCGTCTCGGTTGACAGTCAATTTGGCAAACTCAACTGCAGTAATTCTTTTTAAAAACCATTATCTGTGGCAACATTCTTACCATAAAAATTCATGAAACCCTGACTCAGGAGCACCAATTTTCTGAATATTCAAAGATGAAGTTCTATTTGCAAATGACTCTCCAATGCTAGTCACGGTTCTTGGAAGAGATTTGAGTATTTTATATGATCTAGCTTTCAATCATCCAATGGGGAATAGAATCAAAAGATTGCAGTATATTTACAAGTATGCAATGGCATGTTCATTACCCTTGAAAGGTAGAGTACCCTGTAGCATTAGTGAGCACGCTAATGTTCATTACATTCTACCCACAGACCTCTGTAGGACTATTAAGACTTACGATTGTTATTATTGATGACAGGTGGTAGCTGCTGCTGAAGAGGTGGTGGTGGTGGTGGAGGCATCTGAGGTAAGATATGTACCCCTGTCTTAGCTTTGTGAGTAGGTCTACTCATCCCTGCTTTGATCTTGATAGATCTCTCCATAAAGGGGCTTGTTGTCCTCCCAATGATGGTGGGGGCTGTCGTCACTGTCAAACTGCCCCTTCCCCCTCCTCCTCCTCTTCTACCCATCCTTCCTCGATGGCCAATCCCATCTCCTAAGTCTCCAACATTAGAACTGATCTGATCATCTTGGATCAGTTTCTCATCGTCAATGCTAGTAAGGTCTCCAATACTTCCTCCGGTAGCATTCATCTCTACACCACTGTCATTATGTGGAGAGGAGCTGTAATCATTGACAGGTGCGCTGAGATGGACGCTTTGATGGGCACTGGTGTGACATTCCTGAGGTACACCTTTTGTCTAAAAGAAAAGAAACAAGAGTGAAATATCACAAAACAAGACAAATGTGACTGTCTCCTCCGCATACATTCAGGTAAGATAATGTCTAGAATTATTCTTGGAACATCAAGATGGGAACAAAAAGTCTATACTTGTTACTAACATGTCAATTGATCGTTATAATCTTTGACCTTTGACCTGACAATCACAACATCTGATCACTTGTCTCCCTACATTGATGCATACTTGTAACATGTTTTAAGTTCAAATCTAAAATAGCTTTAAAATTTTCATTCATTTAGTCAAAACAAATTTTTAAAACTTGTAATTTCATGTAAATTGACTTGCTGACCTTTGACCTTCTTTTAATCTAATCTGATGAATTCGTCCCACTTCGGTGCTGCACACTGATACCGAACTTCATGTTAATGGCTCAAATTGTGCTTGGATACATTGCAATAACAGGGTTAAAACCCCAGAGATATCATGCAAATTGAGCTTGACATGCTTACACAAAGGCATGCAAGTTTTTATGAGTCTTCTCTCGTAAGAAATGTATCAAACTTACCCTGTTGTTATTGGTTGAGTTTGATGATACAGAGATTGCTTTGGTGATTGGTTTAACATCTCCTGGACTCTTTTTATCCATGTCATCTCCTTTACGCCCTTCCTTCTCACCACCTGACCCCGATGGTGGATCACGTTTATCACCTCGTTGTCGTTTAGTTACATGAGCTTCTGGTCCATGTACAGTCTTCACATGCTTGCGTAGTGAGCTGGGATCCGTGTATCGCTTAGTGCACCCAGTTATCTTACATGCATAAGGTTTCTGCAGAAAAGAAATAAAAGAATGATTGTAATTGATAACACAGGACAAACAAACTAATGGTTTGAACAAAATCAGAAGCTTTCAGCTATGCATGGAGAGCACCTGCACTGCTTGGAGATTTGAATTGAATTGAATTGAATTTAATTGAAGCCATCATTCATCCTTTTCATATCAAACAGTAAGGCTAGTATCCTGTTGTACTTATACAGGACACATGGACATGCTGTCAGACTCACATCAGGCAAACCTTTGACTGCCTATGACTTAATACACACGTTACCAATTCGCTGCTCTTATCTCTTTATCAATATCACTATTTTGATAATACAACCATACATATATTGACTTCAGAGAAGTACATAGATAAGGCTATTCTGCAAAGGGTTATCCTGCATGCTGTAGCTCAAGCTCGAGAAGTTTTGTGAGATGATTATTTTGCAGCATGTCATTTTTGCAAATCTCAACCACTTGCAAAGTTTACAAACATTATATACCAGGGAAAGTTTCTGATCTTAAGAGAATACTTAATGCAATAAGTACTTACTGCATTGGAGTGAGTTCTGTTCTGATGTTTAGCTCGATCTGATGCATTAGAGAAGGCTTTGGTACATCCCTGGAACTCACAGACATACGGTCTCTCACCGGTATGGGATCGAAGATGAGTCTTGAGGTTCTCAAGTCGAGAGTAAGCTTTGTAACATCCTTCAAACTATACAATTTAGAATAAAACAATCATTATATCACATCATGAAGAAAGTAAGATCTGAACTATACAAATGACAAAACAATCACCAGTCATAAGTAACAATAAAGACAATATTTACAAAAACAATTACCTGATTTGGGGTATTGTATTCACATACAATTCACCTTATTCAATTTGGTTCACCAATGGGGATGCAAAAGACAGTGGGTATATACCAAACAAAGGCAAAATCACTTTCAATCTATATTCATCATCACTTCTTTACTAAAACCATTCCAGTGAATTTTCTTACCACATGGATTTACAACTATTCACCCCAGGAATACAATCAAAATTGATTAAAGAAGTACCTACAAAACATGACAATAAGGAATGTATGACAAACTATGGTGTCAAGTACATTGATATATTTATTGACTGTCACTCTATGACAAGATTAAGAACCCAAAAATAACTTCTGTCAGTTGAAAAATAAATTGGAACTTGAAACTAAAATGAATCATTGTTAAATACTGAAATTAGTCTTATCTTTTGATTGCTACTTACACTACATTTATGAGGTTTCTCTCCTGTATGTCTTCTCATATGAACGACCAGCATGTACTGAGCTTTGAAAGGTTTCTCCTCCCGAATGCAATCACGCCAATGACAGATAAACTCCTTACGCTCGTTATGGATGTGATCATTGTTGATATGCTGTAGCAAGTTACAAACAAATTTCAACAAAAAGAAGAATAAATGGTTATCATACTTGTAATGTTGACAAGGTGACGTTGACAGAGACAAAGGGGAGGGGGGGGGGATGTTTCACTTTAAAGTAAGCAGGTAGTAACTCATCTCTTAAAAGCTGAAAAGAGAGAGGGGGGGAGAGGGGGAAACAAGCAAATCACCCTTTCAGAAATCCCACTCTAAAGAAGATCCACATAATAGCATCCCAATGTACTTTTTAAAGTGGCTTTATGAAGAGGTTAAAGGTAAAGAGCATTTTTTTCATGTGAAAGAATATGTTTTGACTAATACGTGATCATACAAATTTTGCCGAGAAACCGCCTACTACTTGATATATTTGGTAAATTATTATATCTATTTGGACCTGATAGATATAACGCACGTGTCGCACACGTGTGCGTAGTCCCAAATACACTTTCTGTGGACAGTGCTTGTAACTTTACCAAGACTGGGCCACATTTCTTATCATTTTGGTGATTCCAGAACCTTGCAGTACACACCAATTTATATGCTAGATGATCAACCTTTTCTAATCGATTCCACAACGTTTCTTTCACAATGCAATCGCATGACCACAACTGGTCTTTATCTTTAAGAGTATAGTTGTACCTGAACAAGTTGATCTAGGGTATCAAACTTCCTATGACAGTCATCCCATTCACAATCTGTTACTACCGGGATATCTTCTTCTCCACCATGAGCTCCATCATCATCTCGATGATCTCCACCTGGAGCTGGAGCTGAAGGAGAACCCTCCATATGAGATGTAGAGGAGACAGTATTAGGATCATCCATTCCTTTGCTTTGATGATTGTCTAAATCCACACTGCTTGTCACTTGGTTGTTATTAGGCTCAGTTACTTGCTTGCTAACCTGCTCATAGTAAACACAAAGATAACTGGTTAAATAAACTTATGCACTGTACGTCTCATGTTTACTTGTCGTCTTGTCTACAGTTCAATATTGTATGCAACCACTTCCTTTCATAAAATTTTCTTTTACATATCCTTTTGAATATTTGACTCCATTTAGTTATCATTTAACCCATTACCAACACAGCAATTACACTTATCAGTGCTAAGAATAATACTGTGTCTTTAAATCGTTAAATGCTATACAGTCCATAATATAGGATTACACTCTTTTAAGCTACAGTCACAATGGTTCGTACGAACGATACTTTTGTACGAATCTCCCTGTTTTTCCATGGTCTTCCTGAATTTTCATGGTGTGAAAATCGTTCGTACAGCTTTCGTAGCAGTTTGTAATGGCATTTGTGACTGAGGCTTAAGCAATGCATTTAAATTGAATATAAAACAATATTACACCCATCAAATGACTGCATTTTGGTGTTATATTAGTCCAAAAATTGGCTTAGTCACTCAATTATTGATATCCCATATATCAAATTGTTTTCAAACTTCAGTAATGAATTCAGAAGAGAGATTATAACCTTACTTGTTAATGTTTATCCGGCATGGTATTCTCACAGAACTCATCATTAAGAATAAGAATAATACAATATTTTACAATTGATTGATAATGTTAACATGAGTAATGTAACATGAAAAGAGGCTTTTCTTCAAACATGATCCATATGTGTTCATATCGAGTTCATTGCCCTGTCCTGCAAAACTTTCAAAATCTATATAACAGACAAAAAATGACAGCCAAACATACGATGCCCTGCACTGAATGCCATCTGTCGAATAATATGACGTACTTAAAAGGAGAAAGTGTTTAATATATCAATATGTATTCTTGAATAAACTAGATTTGAATGGGTCCCGGGGCACTAATTGTAATTCAATGAATAATGTCATTCAGGTTCACAAACAGAGCAACAAACATTCAAGATTCCACACACAATTGGCTGCCATAATGGACATTTTCTTCAGTTACAGTCCCATATGTACACAAATTATTTGGACGCGTCAAACGCCGAGTTAAGGGCATGAAAGCTTGCCTGTTTTACCAACATTTTCAAACCACAAATTACTAACTCATTAAAACTGGATATATAAAAGCAATTCTAATAAAAATCATGTTTGACAGAAAATCATGATGACGACTAATTACCTGAGGTAACCAAATGGATGTGAAATCTTTTCGCAAATTATTTCAGCTTCAACCGATCCAACATACGGGTTACATTGGGTCAAAGGGCTCTCGAGCTTTTTATGCAAATTCATAAGAGACAAAATTTACAGTCACCACCCTCGTAACCGAATCCTTCGTCTACCGAAACACTTGCTACTAAACTCTCATTTTATGAAGAACTTCTGGTTAAACTCCTCTGTGACAAATTAAAAGACATTATCTGATTAAAAGCCCCATAGGAATGCATGATAGATGTTCTTCAAGCAGTTAACACGTCATCAAATTACATCTTGATTGTGGCTGGGTCTCTACAGATTTATATTTCCACTTGTACAACATCAGCCAATCACGATGAAGGTTTTAAAGCCGAAAAACCGAAATGTCGAAACCATTTCAGTGAGTTGGACTGTAATGTGTAAGGAAAGGGAAAGTAGGGCTTAACGGAGGAAATACATATCATGAATGTGGTTAGAAGTCCAATCATTTAACCAACAATAGGCATCTAAGCAACATGGAGCTGGAAAACAAGACGGGAAATTAGGGAGCCACAGGACACATTAACACCCTTTTCTACCAATAGCTCTAACCACAACTTTCTCCTCAGAGTCCTGAAGGGTCGCAAGTACTTTTAGCCAGTGCAGTCTTACATCTAGGATGGTACGAATGAAGAAGGGCTGAGTAAGAGGAGAGCCAGAGCTCTTTTGTGAAGTAAGGATCTCTAAAATGTTTGACTTTCCAAGCCATTATCACTCAGGGCGTGAATTAACTTTGTTTCTTGTATATAAACTTACTGAAAATAAGCTTATCACAACAACAACAAAAGCATCAAGAGAGAGAAAGGTATAAGAGTATAAATCTTAAGGGGGGGGGGGGGGCGGGGGAGGGGAGTGAGATACTTAGAAAAAGAATGGGAGAGAAGCAAAGAGTAAATGGCTAGAAAGAAAATATGACTAAGTGTCATGCACATGCTTCTCAAGCACATTCTGTAACATGAATGAACGAGAATGAACCACATTAACGACTCCCCAGAGAGATGCAACCTTAATCCCTCATTTGGCGCTTGCCACCAAGTGGCCACCATTCTAAATATTTGCCCTCTCAGTCTATAACAATTTCCGCCACTTTGCTCATTTTGACACCTATTTTTTTCTTTGTCCCACTTCCTCCTAGTTTCATATTTTCCAAACACATTTGTTGAGGTTGGAGAGGAAGTCTGTTATGCTCATAACTCTGATGATATACCCAGGGAATAGAAGGATAGTTTTTATGGCCAAAACACGTACCACCCCTGAGGAATGTATTACGCACATTACCATCCATCAAGAAGGCAAAAAATAAAGGGGGAAAAATGAAATAATTCACATCATAACTGACTTCCATCAGAAAGTGTCATTTTCAATATGGATAATTCTACTAAGTAACCCTGGATTAAACATGTAATTTTCTGAATTTTCTGAATTCATGCTCCCAGAAATTTATCAAGTTTCTTCTCCTCCCCATTAAAAGAGCAAATTATTATTTTTAGTAATGTAACTGTAACATTTTCTCACTATTTTCAGTCACTCAAAGTTTTGTAAAGTATCCAAAGATTGTTCATTGATTGTCTTCTAATTTTAATAATTGATCAATACAAAAAATGAAATAAGATATTGGAATGAAAAAGAAATATCAACAGACAAAATTGATCACCTTCTCAAGATATAACTCAAATAAAAGAGTATCAATAATAAACCAATGCGACTCTACAAGATGAAGAGTGATAAGCCCAATCTAGTGTTGAAGTCAAACCAAACAATTCAAATCACTGGCCAAATCAAGTACAATTCTAGACTCAATAACTTCTTCAGTTTGCTGTTTATTATCCAGAAATTCTTAAAAATGTAAAGTAATTAAGGTATTAAGTGTCTCATTTCATTCCTGTGTTACCAACTCATGAACAGGGTAAGAGTGCTTTATTCAGGTTGAAAAGAAGGTAATTACAAGAATATTAAGATAATTGGTGCTCTGAAATCAAAATCGTATTTGAAATATGTCAAGCTTAATTAAATTTGAATGAGGAGATGAAGAGCAGCTTATTACGTGTTTGAATGAGGAGATGAAGAGCAGCTTATTACGTGTTCTTTTCCAAACCAAAGAATTGACTGAAGAATGATACCCACCATAATACAATGTATCTCAATGTTAGACTGTTTCATTCATTCAGCCAATTTTTTAATCAATTTGGAAGAAATACAAGTTTATTCCTAACTGGGAAGTGGATTTAAAAGATTAATCTATGATCTTTTCCATTAGCACAAGAAGCTCAAAGTCCACTAGCCAATAATAATGAACAGCGCCATCTTGTGTCAATGTACGTACAACATTAATTCACTAAGTTGTAATATGGAATATGAATACAACATTGATTGCAATGCTTTTGCTAAATCAACTCTTTTCTTTGAGATGAGATAAATTAAGCAATAGAAATACATGCACATCCTTCTTCTTTTTTTTTAATATGGAACAAAAATTAAAGAGAAAGTTGAGTTCTTGCGTTGTCATTGTTATTATGCAAGTGTGGAAGAACATCAGAGAAAACAATGTTACCTGAAAAGCATGGCTCTTCAAATGCCTTCAGATTCTAAATATGACAAGTAACGGCTTACAAATGAGGCCCAATTTTTATGCCACATGTTTATGTAGTCCTATATACATCTTTCTGTGTAAAGTGCTTGGCCAAATGGGCCAAATTTCTTATTGTTTTGATGAACCCTACAGTACACACCAATACTTACGCTACATGATCAACTTTTTGTGATGGATTCCACGCTGTTTCTTTCACAATGCAATCGCATGACTAGAACTCAACCTTATCTATTGATAACAAGGTTAGAGATTCTTCATCTCCATAGGGAAACATGAATCATGCAAATATTGCTTAATTAGTGCAAGTGATCGGTTTCACAGACAATTGAGAGAAATGCGAATTGTCTTAAGCTAATCATAGCTACACATTCCCTACATCTCATGTTAGTAGTTGCCACTGGTTAAAACTCAAGTTGAGTATAAACAGATCAGAAAGGGGAGTATATAGAAATAGTTGTAACTGTATCACTAAACAAGAGATGTACATCATGCTATGATTATGATAATACTGATTTCTTGTGCCATCAAGCAATCTGCTCCAGAAATTCCAACATTACCCTGGATTTAGGTAGGCTTCATAAAATAGCAGGTACCTACAGCCTACACCTAGGCAGAGAGATGTAGATGTAGATTGTTTGAAGGTATGATGCTAGTTAGTGTCATGCCTGGGCTTAAACCCATGAATCTCATGTCAAAAGGGTTCAATCACTTGGTTACAACACATCAACCCTTACTGGACTACTCATAGAAGCGATGATAATAATGCATTACCTGAGGGATATGATGCTCAAACTCTGCAGCCTTCTTGGAATGGTTGTTGTTATGTGTAGGGGGTACTACAGAGTGAGGATCAGGACCCGCCACACTCTGCTGCTGTTGCTGCTGACCATGAGCTCTTGCTAATAGTGTAGCCATGGCAGGATGCTGGGGAGGGGGCACGTTGGTTGGTAGGTACCCCGCCCCAGTAAAACCCTGTACAAAATACAACAAAATGGAACACAATATTGCAAATACCCTTTATGACATTTATTTATATTTTAAAAACAAATAACTTCAATAGGAGTATAGGATGCAAATGAGGGTAGCGTCGGAGTGTTGTATATTTCAGACTCAACATATTTCTATTGGGGGGGGGGGGGGGGGGGGGAAGGGGAGAGAACTCACTTATCCAGTGGCAAACTAGTCTCCAATGTCTATTGAAAATATACCAACATCATTTATCTCTAGCATATGTTGACAAACATCAACTTGAAAATACTTTTATTGCACTTTTGTACTGGCAGACACATCCCGGTTTATCTTTCTGGTTGTCAACACTGAAAGTGATAAATTGTGTTAAAACTTAAACACAAATATTATCAATCATTTCAGAAATTTAAAATACGTCATGAAAGTTTTTGTGAAAAATCTTGAAATGTCAACCTTTACTATGCTACCATACAAGCTGAACTACAAAAAATAATCCATTGTCTAATCTGATATAGCCTTTGCCTATTTGAACTGGGAGGCTCCTGTACTAAAACTTATGAGAATGAGGTTATTCATTAATCAGTAGGTTAAGTTAAAGTCTCTTTTCCCTACTGATTTACCTGTGATGTCTAATGAGCTGCTGTTGAAGATGATGTAGATGTGCTAGAGGTGTAACAGGATGATTCCAATTGACTGGACTTACTGTACCAGCTGATAGATGACCATAAGAACCACTAGCAGCTGAAGAGCTACGAGAATTATTCACATACGCTACCAGAGAGTTTGGTGAAGTGCGTATCATAGCATTAATATCTATGGACTCATTGAAGAGTGGAGAGATGGAGAGGGCACGCTTTCTACTCATACGAGCTCCTGGTCTCGGACTTGAGAATCTGGAACCTGATGCAAAAAAAAAAGTTTTATAATCCTTTCTAGTGTCTTTTACTTCATATCAATGTCTTCCAAATGCACGCTTTAGGATGTAGGTATTACAACAACACTAGGTTATAATCTTCATAATTTTCATCATGAATTAAATTAATTATAGATCATCTCGTGAAACTCACTTCAAAGTAAACCTGATTTTTATTGCCATCACAATCGTCAATACTACCACAATTGCTGCCATCACCATCATCATTCCCCCCCCCCTCCCCCTCCCCTTCACCACCACCATGATCTTAACCATAACCACCACCACCTAAACCTCCATGAACAATGCTACCACTACCACCACTATCAAGATTAACACTTTCATAATTCCTCTCAACCATCAGCACATGTACCTTCGACTGAGCTGAAGTCCAATGCTGGATGTTCAATGCTCCCTGCAGTACTGGGTGGATGACTATACAGGTCTGTTGATACACCATGACCATATGAAAGCTGGGGAATGTAACTACCTGGGGTGGCTCGCGGTCCTAAATCACCTCCTTAAATATAAACAAAACATGCAATAACCAACTACACTACCCAACATATCTATTATATCATTTTTTTTTTTTACTACTATTAAAATTTAACGTTATCAGATTATAATGAAATACTAATATGTAAATATCACAATAAAAATGACATAATACAAGATCAAGTTTAACAGAAAAAGCACATCATTTAATACATACATTTCAAAGGTAAATAATGAGCTTTTCTTGCCTATTGAGAAGATGTTTCTCTTGTTCATATGCTGGGTAAAACTCTAGGACACTAACTTAACTCTTTGCCCGCCACGTACACAATCCCCCCTGTGCCACATTGTTTTTAGGGTGCCACCTTAGGAGGGGTTCTGCATGGACTATGCTTATTCAACTCGCAATAACTTTTGATTGGAGTACTGTAATGAAAAACTTTGTGTAGCAATATTGTATAGAAAGTAATAGTCTTGCCAATGGTATCATTTTTGTAATGTATATTATCATAAATTTTGAGATTATCAACTATACATTTTGTATCCAAGTTTTCGTTTAGAAGGGTATTCTATACCTCTTATATCTAATACTTTGTTATGGAGGTTTATGTCCTGAGTTAGTTCATTGAAAAGATGTATTCATGAGCTTTCACTACATACCAAATTCATGTGTTGAGGGTCACAATGAGCCTGGTAATTTAGGATTGAATAAAGAGTAAGCCGACAATGAACTAATCTCCTATTGAAATTGACCCTGGGTACTTTTGAATAGACTTCCTGTCTCTTGATTGTACTTTGATGACCTTTATTGTGTCTGTAGGTAAGATGGTGTAACATTCTATTATTACTTGCAAGGCTGTGCAAGCTATTAGAATTGAAAGAAATGAATAGAAGAACTTATTGATTTTCTACACTAATAAGGCAAGCCATGAACATAATGTATGCTTGAAACATGTACTAAGTTATGAATTGTAGAAAGCTGATGTATAATAAATAAGAATAAAATATATTCGTCTACATATGTAGTCTCATATTGACATGTTCATTATAACAAGAGGTAGACAGAGAGAGGGAGAGAGAAAGAAAGAGAATAAGAATGAAGAGACAGGCAGATTGGGAAAGAAATAAGAAGAGACAGGGAGAGATAGAGAGAGAGAGAGAGAAAGAAAGAGATATAAGCAGATACAGAAAATGAGAGTGAGAAGATAGAGATAGAGGGGGAGGGGAAGAAGAAAGAGACAGGCAGATAGGGATATAAATAAGAAGAGACACGGAGAGAGAAAGACAGATAGGCAGACAGAGAAAGACAGAGGCAGGTTGAGATAATGAGAGTGAGAACAAGATAGAGAGAGGCAGAGAGAGGGGAGGAAGAAAGAGACAGGCAGATACAGAAAGTGAGAGTGAGAAGATAGAGATAGAGGGGGGGGGGGAAGAAGAAAGAGATAGGCAGATAAAGATATAAATAAGAAGAGACACGGAGAGAGAAAGACAGATAGGCAGACAGAGAAAGAAAGGCAGAAAGAGAAAGTGAGGATGAGAAGATACAGTGGGATTACGCAAAAGTGTACGTGTGGGACCAGGCTCATCTTCCTCGTCAGAGTCAGTCTCGCTCTCCTCTGAATCAGAGTCGGCTGTTGGAACAGGGTCCATCACAAGTTCTCGTACCTGATCAGCCGTGAAGAAGTCCCGTCTCCTCCTAATAGGGGCCATCCTAGCTCATCAGAATATTTGCAAAAGCAGTTTCAAAAACTCAATTTTTCTCGGAAAATGTCAATGTAAACAATGTCTGCGAAAGCGGTGCAATGAAGTGTGATGTGTATACAATGCGAAGCACGCGTTACTATTGTGTGTGTGTGCGTACAATAGAATTAAATGCGTTCCGTGTGTATTGTGAATGAAATGTGACTTGAGTCGAAGTTGGCAGCCCGCTGTATGTTCCGCTAGCCGAACGTGGCGGGCAAAGAGTTAATACTTGAACTTCAAGTGGACAAGATGTTGCTTTTTCCACAACAATACTGACTATAAGCAAATTTGCAATACTGGTTGAATGAGAAGGGAAAACATACATCTGTATGAAAGGAGACTGTGTTATATGAAGTGCTATATGAAGTGCTATATGAAGTGGTATATGAAGTAGACTGACCTGAGTTTGAGCCTGTGGGACTAAGACCTCTCGCATGTGATAACATTGATAGAGCCGGGCTACCATGTAGGTGATCTACATACTGAGGCACTGCATAGTAAGGATAGATAGGACTCTCAGCAAGGCTGCCTAGCCCACTACGCTGAGGTGTGAGACGGATTAATGATACATCAGATAGTACTGGACTACTGCCGGGGGTATGGCTGCAATCAGAAAAGAGAAACACATCAATATTAATAGGTGATTGTTACAATACACAGGAATGAATAATATTTAAAAAAGAAGATATACAGAAGATACTGTGATAAAGGCAGTGAAGAAATCTATGGATCAATAGAGTTCATTAGTGTATGTACAGCTGAAACAAAAGAAATATAACGAAAATGCACCAGATTTCAAATCATTGTTATTGAGGTTGAACATAGTTGTTGTTGTTTATTTGTGAGAATAAAAAGGCTGCTGACCATCATGTAACAGTTTATTTGTGAGAATAAAAAGGCTGCTGACCATCATGTAACAGTTTATTTGTGAGAATAAAAAGGCTGCTGACCATCATGTAACAGTTTATTTGAAAAGAAAAAGAGAATGACACTTGAGATGCCAAGTGATTTGCCACAGGGCTGATACATGCCACACATACGTTTAATCATGGACCTAGGTCCATGCTTTAATGATCATAAGCCTTCAAGGTCTGATGGTGTGAGAATAATCATTCAAATATTTCTAAGACTAACATTTGAGACAAAATATATAACAAGGGTCTTTACATCCACAGAATGCAAGCCAATAGTCGTCATTCAGTCTAGACAGGATTGTCTCTAACAAAATACTTATAAGATTTGAAAAAATGACGACCAAATGTAGCCTCCCTCAAACAGTCTGGTCTACTGAACAGAGCTGTCATGAGGCTGAATGAAGGAATGTACTGTGTATGATGCTGTATCCATCCCACACAGTTCATGCTTCATTATGAATTAAAAGTCTAATTACCGGTAGTTAATCTACTTTAAAATGCAAACCTAAGCACTGTCAATGGTCAATGGAGGACAACATGAATGGAAACATTAACAACAAAACAACAGCAATTCCCACTCCTAGTCATTTTGGCATTATAAGATTTGAAATAATTGGGTCAGCTCCAATTTCTCATTTCTTAATCAAGACTTGACATTAACAGAGCTCTAGTGCAGTAGTGAACACCAACCATTTCATTTGGAACCCCCATAAAAACAAGTTCATATGAAGCTCTGCTACCATCTGAACACTACCACAGCACAGGAAGGTAAATCCAATGAAATGCATGAAGAAGTTCTGATGATGTAAACAAGAGGCTCAATGGAATAATCCTCAAGCTCATGAAAGTTGGATCAGTCAGTGAGGACAGAGGGTCAGAATGGGAGGGGCTTGGTCACCCTGGTGAGAGAAACAGAGATGGGGGCTGAGGGTGATTTGCCTCAAACTCTAGTAAAAGGCCTGGGTTGCAACACAGAAAACAATGAATGGGACTGCCATATCCAATTAAATGCAACAAGGTAACTATTAATAACAAGTCAAGTTTAATTGCTAGTATCCCTGGGAGAACTTGAACACCACCCTGGTTGTAAATGCAGACTGTATGGATGGCAGTCTATGGCGCTAGAGGCCTAAGGGCTTAATGTGTGTATTTATAGATGGTTGTGAACGGATGAGTGTTTGTAGGCTGGATGACATGTCAACATTCTGCACATTGTCCTTAAAGACTCCTGATAAACATCCTCTGTGACATGGTAGCATTCCTTCATGATCTAGAGATCAAGACATGTTCAAGATACCATTATGCAATGCTTTCTCATCTGCTCCATCTAGCATAGACCAATGATATTTTCTTGTGAATTTTACCCTTTGTATTATGTTGATTTATGAATGTTTGCATGTGTTTTCTGGATTTTTATGAGCAAATAAATTGAAATTGAAATTGAAATTGAAATTGATATTCAGAAGTAAACTGAAACTAAGAAGTGGGGCAAAAGTGTTCTTGTTAGCTACCACATATGAGCCATTGTCCACAGGATGGAAAAATAAGTCAACATAAAAAGCATGAACACCTAGATTTCAAGGAACCACACAATATCTCTATTCATGGTAAATATTATAGTAAAATCATACGGTCCTATATAAACGAGTGAGAATAAATGGAGATTTCTCTCTCTCAACCCACACAGGCCCATAATATGAAAGTGGTCTTAGAATCCTGCAGCTGTCTCCATCAGCAAACCTGGTGATAACAAGATTTCTAATGGAAAAACAAAACAGGGTCAGAAAGATCAGACATAGCAAAGTGGGAGACATAATTCATTCTGACAACCATATTGTACTGGGTTGTGAACAGAGGGAGAAAGTATTCATGTTGTTTACTTTGTGTTTACATATCATTTGTCAAGTAAAGTCTCAAGTTCATGATACTAAACAAGTGCAGAAAATGTCAAATTAACAAACAATGATCATAAATAATGGATAAGGCTTCACATGATTTGGTATCAATACTTTTCATTTTAACAACAGGGTAGGTCCTGCCACAAGAAAAAAAAAAGCAACCAAAATCAAACTTAAAAAAAAAACAGAGAAAGAGAGAGAGAGGGGGAGAAAGTAGGGGGGAGGGGTACAACTACAACATAAAACATTAAAACTTACACAAAGAATTTCCCATTCTCACTTTGTCCACATTCATATTATGAAAGCACTATTAATAGCGGGTTCAAAAAGAAAACTCACATGTTGTTTTAGCAACCCTCTCTCCCCCCAAAACCTTTCATCAAATTTCTTTGCTTTTGAGATAAATTAATGAAATAGCAAATTATCGGCTGTACTGGAACTTTACTTGGGGAAATTCAATTTGAGTAAAATATTCATAACTAATGAAACTTTCGGAATAGTTCTTCTGCTTCCAACATGCCTTATAACAAACACAAGTAAAGCTTCTGCAATGGTTGATGCATTCATTAACCATACAGGTTGATGGCAATCATGGCATGCAGGCATTCGTGACCATCACATAAAAACTAAGGGGAACAAGTATGAAAATTACTTTGAGCCACTGTCATAAAAAGTTCAGTTTTTGGTAATTCTGGACACACTGTAAACTTACCCGTGTAAAGGGTGATGCATATGGTCAAAATGATACCTGCCCTCATGAGTCCTGGAGTTGACAGGGATGGGAGGATGGTACCCTATACGACCATCCATACCTAAATAAAACAAAAGATGAAAGAAAATCAGAATTGGGCACATAAATATGGCAGTAATGAAAAATATGAAAAATGGTTACACAGATCTTCACATACATTAAATAAAAGGCATGCACAAGTTATGTAGACCTCGTACACAGTGTACAGATCAGATGGCATATATTTCAACATACAAACAAAAAAATAATAAAAGTACAGTTTTGGGCTCTACCTTGTCACCAGCAATTAAATACCAATATGACTGAGCATCCATCTTTATTGCAGGATCCATTGAGCAAACCATAAAAGCATAAACATGTGCAAACGATAATGCAACAGTCCAAGAAGATAATATCCTGGTAAGTTAGGTCCAACTTCAAGGTTCACAACATCTTCACAGTTTCAAGTGAAGGAAGCAAAAGAATGAAAGCTGTTTTGCCATTGGGTTCTTCATTATTATCCCTTGTAGAATCAAGTCCTTCTGGTCCAAAGCAAGATCCCTAGAGCATCACCACCATTGCTAGCAATGTTATACTAGGACATCAATCTGCTGAACACCAACCTCTACAGGACTCTCAACATTATACTGTAGGTCTAAATGAATAATTCCCTGTAGTATATATACCTGGTATAAGCCTGTTGTGTCACCTTATCAAACTGTCTATTCTGAAGCTATTGATCCATGACATGAAGGATACAAGAAGTAGTATGTTTGACATTCACTAAGCCCCCAACAGCCAATTGACAAATTTACAGTGGTCAAGAGAGAATATTTGCGTAACACTTCTCCCGTTAGCTTCCAGTATTCCCAGTGCTTGACTTAGCCCTTGTAATTGCTTCACTGAGCTCATATCCACACTCAAAGGAATTAACATTTCTATAAGAAGTGAGGTGACATAGATCAGTCTAATAAATGAAGGGACAACCCAATCACATACATCCAAAACAATACATTATCCAAATAAAGCTACTTTATGGAAATATCACGCAAACTTTCTTAATAAACCTTGAAGCTCCAAAAATAATATTACTTATTAATTACACAAACCATGAATAAAGTTAAAAGTTTGAAATCAAACATCTTACAACTGACTGTTATGTATGTGTTCTATCCCAAATTGGACCTTTACATCCTATCTTTGTAAAACGTACATTTATAACAAAAAATTACCAGAAAAATTATACTGTAGGTCTAAAAGGTCTAACTACATGAGGTCATAAACCTAGGTGTGAAAGTGAAATCTAGTCTTAGGAAAAGTTTGACATTTCCTCACATTCCCCGGTAAGATAACTTTAGCTTTTTTAACATTCTGATTTATTTATATTTTGTTCAGGGGGGAACTCTTGTCATGTCCAATATCCCATTTCATTCAGAACTTAAGGCAACAACTCTAGCCATGAAAATGAATATGAAGGTCTATGCTTGTGGTGAAATTGATTCCATTATTTGCACAAGTCATCAATAGCTATATCAAATGAATGGTTGGTTCCACTTATAACACATATATTTCAAGACATTGTAAGGAAAGTGATGATATAAAATTGCAATATGTTATTGTTGGCTTTAGAATATTGACCATTATTACCCGTATCAGACATCTGAGCGGGTCATTTACAAAACCGTATTGCCCTAGTTTTCACTAGCAGTGGGAACGGAGGGGTATATTCTTTGTATTTTCCTTGGTCTCCTTGCTCGTATAGACTTTGCGTGTAGAGACGAATGAAAATATACCTTGGTATTTTCCACGGTCTCGCATCCGGGCATTTTGTATTGACCGCGCCGTATTTTGTCATTTCATTGCGCATCTATTATGCGTACGAGAACCTGCGCACTTTGCGCGCACTCTATTGTGACGTAATAATCACACCAAATGCACACTATTGTGACGTAATAATCACACCAAATGCACACTGTTTGCAGCGTATCAAACATTTTCTTCAAGCACTGGATGCACAGTTCTGATTTGACAAAGTTTGTTCAGTTCTTTGAGATTGTCATGGTGGATTTCTGTATTTGCTCTAGATGTCTGATTTGGATAACAATAAAAATATTGACTGGATTTACTTTCAGGGGATATCAGAAATATTGACCGCGCTAAGACCATATTGCCCTCGTCTTTCGACTCGGGGCAATATGATCTGAGCTTGGTCAATATTTCTGATATACCCCTCAAGGCCAGTCAATATTATATAAATATCCATAATAGCAAAGAAGCAATACATTAGCCCAAAAGAAAAAAAATAAATGCATAAAGATCACAAGGTAAAAGTAAACATTTTAGCTATTGAAACCTATCAAAGATTTCTGGAAAACTGGAAGAGAGCAATGGTTTAAACAAAAAGTGACGATAAACATTTTGACTATAAATGCATTCAATCACAAGACTTCCTATGAGCACAAAATAATGTTTTTATGTCATGTCACTTATAATACAGAGTTAACAGACTTTTTGTATAATGTATATATAATCATTCAAAATAAAATTATTTTCATTTCCAAACAGTTTTGTTGAGAAAATTAATCAGTTTGCAGATTTGTTCCAGCTATGTACAAAAGAATTAAGTAGTGATTGAGGTCTGCACATGAATGTTTACAGCATGGAAATATAGAAGCAAATAACATGACAAGGGGAGAGAGGGGGAGAGAGGGGGAGAGAGAGAGAGAGAGAGAGAGAGAGCAAGAGAAAGAGGGAGATAGAACAAGATAGGACAAATCGTTACTGAGAATATACAATTATATTTATGTAACTAATTCATTTAAAAATACTAAAATATAGCAGTTGACAAATCTATTTAGTTTACGAGAAACCTCAACCCCAGAAGAGCACTAACTTATTTATGCAATTTACGTTCTAGCAATTGTAGTACAAAGGATGATAGCAGGTGAATGTAATCTTTATCACCACACACACCTGGGAAGGAAGCATCCATAAATTTGAATACATTTTAGGGCTGTGCACAACAGTGTAATGAGGTACCCGAGTACACTCCCAGGCTCACAGGCGAATACTCGAGTATTCGGACGCCATGTTTTTTTATAATTTTTTTGAATTTTTTTGAATTTTTTTGATTTTTTTTGAATTTTTGGATTTTTTGATTTTTTTTTCTTTTTTTTTCTTTTTTTGCCACTACCATACCACTCGGCAGTTTCTCAGGTCCCTCGCGCAGCTCGCTGAAAACGCATGCAACTTTACTTTGAGTTGCAGTTGAAGGCGCCGATTTAATAAGAATAATAACAGTAAACAATGCTGTTTTAAAAACCAAAGATGGCAGAATAATCCATTTTCCTCCAAGTCCAAACAGAAATCTGGACATTTGGTCCCAGTTTCTGAAAGGTGAGTTTGACAGTGCTTGAGTTTGGAAACATTTTTACCGACGGTACCATGCCAGCGGATGCTGCTCTCCCTGGCACGGGTAAGCGTGGGCCTGGACATTTTTTTTTTTTTTTTTTTTTCTTTTAATTTTTTTTTTTTCTTTTAATTTTTTTTTTTGCGGCCGAATATTCGGGTACAAGAAATCGTACCCGAGTAGTTGTCAACCGTGCGGGTACTCGAGCATTCGACTACCCGTCGCAGCCTTAATACATTTACTTGATAAATGACTTCACATACATGTAGTTCGCCACGTTATCGAGAAAATGACGATGCCCTTGTTGTGCTGCGAAACTACACATTATTCTTGCTTTATAAATACCTCTTTCATATTCTTTGGTGGGAGATTAATGGGCAAGAATATGATAAATCTCTCAGAATAAGTAAAGTTATTTCTTGGGGTGCACTTTTCTTTATATTCAACAGTTTTCAGAGTACTTTAAAGGTAAAGACCAGTATTGGAAACGCGCCAAATTTCAAAAAATGAAATTGAAGCTCTCACTACCAATCATGTGAAAGAATATGTTTTGACTAATACATGATGATGAAAAATTTGCCGGGAAACCGCCTACTAATTCATATATTTGGTAAATTTGTTTCTCTCATGGTCTGTGAGAGATATAGGGTAGTCCCATATACATCTTTCTGTGTATAGTGCTTGTAACTTTACAAAGAATGGGCCAAATTTCTTATCATTTTGATGATTCCAGAACCTTGCAGATGCCAGATGCTAGATGCTAGATGATCAACCTTTTCTGATCGATTCCACAACGTTTCTTTCACAATGCAATCGCATGACCATAACTGGTCTTTACCTTTAAACCTAAGGGTTAATATTTCTTGATTAGAAAGTTAGTTATCTTACCATATCTTGGGTCTATGAAGCTTGCCCTTGGGTCAATCATGTATGGCAGGGTAGGGAATGGATGATGTGGATGTATGGTTGGATGAATGGTTGCATGAGGGTAGTGTAGGGGAGGATGGGCTGATAGCTCACGCCCTGCCCTACTGTATTCATGAGTAGACGAGGAGGATGGTAGACTGTCACCTGGGGGCTTCGTCTGTGGACGACGCTCCTTAGCTGCAACAAACAATAAACAAATCAATTAAGTTGAATTAAAACAAGAAAAGGCCATGCAAAAACATTAATCTATGTTTCTTTCCCTGTGTCCATGCACAACAAATTCATTGTATAACTATCCTAAAATTGTGTGTGTATGCTTACATACGATAGGTCGTATAAAGACACGTTGTATAACAAAACGGGGGTCTGGGCATCATTTCGAACTAGAACTTGATAACGAATCACAGAACGTGTTGTGTGTGGACATATGGTCGAACTAGAACTGTAAAACTGGGCGGGGCTTAACGTGACCGCGCGGGAAAGGAGACCCTACCTCTCATTTCCCCTTCCATTTCATGACCGTAGTAGCAAACTGTGTACCTATACAACGTTTCACTGTAGAGTTTTGGGATTACTTTCTTTTGTGTGTGGACGCCCTGGAATTTATATGATGATTCTTTATACGTTTCTTTATAGAGTTTCGGGATAACAAATGTTGTGTGTGGACTGTGGACACGCTGTAACAAGTTCTTTAATTCCTAAAATTAAGCCCAGTGACAATTTGGGGGAAATAGAATGAAATAATGCAAAATAACTATTAAATATACCCATTTACTCAACGCCCAAACCACTTTGTCTTCGAAAAACTTTTTTTTTTTTTTTTACTAACATCGACACTACTGGAAAAACCAATAAGAAACCATAAGTTTTTGATGATTCTGTTTAATTAGTAATTTCTGCACAAATATGCGCTACTGGTACTTGTAGAGCTCTATCCATCATACATTAGCACAGTAGTGAGGAGAGTCATGTGTGATGGATTAAAAACAGGAATGATTAACTGGTGTTTTGAGATCGAGCATTGACACTGAAAAAAACGGTTAAATTTCTGCCGGCGCTTTTGAGGTGGGTTTTTGGATATATTTTTCATTATTATTATTACAACCAGAATGTGAGAAAAATTGAAGATTTTGCTTGCAGTGTAAATGAAGCTAGTGCGGATATTACGTTTTTCTTTAAAGGGGAATTTTATTATCATTATTGTAATATGTGATCTTATACATTGACTCAATGCTACATGCTATACACACATACACACAGTTAATGTACACTGTGGTGTATGGGCTCTTCTATACACAATATAACCAGTCATGCTGGATTGCAACTTCACTCTGATGTTTCTCTATGTGTCTTCATTTGAGTACTAACCATACAGCTAAACAACCCCACATTATATGGTGGCAGCGATATAGAACCTACTGGACAATATTTGTGAACTTTGCATCATTTTGGAGAGATTTTGGAGGCCATCTTACTGACACACTGTCATGGGATCAACAGGTGCTCCTTTCTACAGTCCCATATGATGGTTTTACTGTAAGTAAAATGTGCATTGACATTTGCATTACTATTGGAGTTTGAGTAGCTGGTATGAACTATGAATGAATCATTTACACCCCGCATGAATTGGGAAGACCCCGACAGAGCCAATGCTGTTAAGATTTTTCATCAGCAGTGTGACTTATACTTCTCAGTCAAGAATGTTGCGATTGGTAAGCAAGTGGATCATGTTCTTTTGTTCACTGGTGCCACGGGTATCAAGCTTTACACCTCGTGGGGTCTGGAAGGTGAAGATAAGAAGAATCCAACTGTTGTTTGGGAGAAGTTCGAGACACAACTGAGGCCAAGGGCAAATTTCCGTGTAGCTAGGCTATACCTTCAGAAATATGTGCAGAAGGAGAGGGAAAGTGCAGATGATTATATCTCGCGCCTGAAGCTGCAGGCATATGACTGTGAATTTCGTGATGACACTGAGCTCCAAGAACGCATCATTGAGCAGTTCATCACAGGCACTAGATATCCTGAGCTCCAGAAAGATCTTCTAGGGAAGAACAAGTCCCTCACTCTTACACAGATGCTTGAGCTGAGTAGAACATTTGAAGCATCGCAGATGCACATGGCTCAACTAGCGCAAGTACAGACACATATTCAGCCTGCATCGATTGATGTAGTTCGTCGGAAGACTAACACTAGTAACAAGTGTCCTAATTGTGGTGGTAATCATGCTCGCAGTCCACGGGAAGCATGTCCGGCTTATGGCACCAAGTGTAACAGCTGTGGAAAGCTGAATCACTGGAGGAGTGTTTGTCGATCTCCAGCTCCAAGTACACAGTGGTCTGGGAGATCTCCAGCTTCAAGTACCCAGAAGTGGAAGCAGAAAGCTAAATGCGCTACGCCACATCGTGGAGGCAAGAATGTGAACTCCATTCAAAGCACAAACAATATTGAGGCAGCAGCAGCGGTCCCACTACTGAATGACGCAGTGGATGTCCTGTCATTCAATCGAATTATTGTGTCAGGTATCAGTGCTGTAGAGGTGGATGACAGGGACGACCTAACAATAGCGTACGTGGAAGTCAGACGGGATGAGAGAACCATAATGAAACTGCGTTCGAAGGTTGACTCCGGTGCGGAGGGCAACACACTTCCTCTTCGGATGTTTCGTGGGATGTATCCCGGCCATCTCACTAAGGATGGAGTTCCTCACCCTCAATCAGTGCATAATTCAAGTGCACGGTTGTTCGCTTACAACGAAACACCAGTGATGCACTTCGGTTCGGTTCGGCTGCCCTGTCGTTTCAACAACTCAACTTGGCTTTATGCTACATTCTACATCGTTGAGTCCAGGGGTCCAGCGATTATCGGATGTGACACAGGCTTGAAACTGAAGCTGCTTACTCTACACACACGCATCAACGAGATCAAGCATTCAGCACAGATAAGCTCTACTGATGACCTAGTAAGGCAGTATCCAGACCAGTTTGACAAAATTGGCAACTTCCCAGGAGAATATCGTATTGTTCTTGATCCAGACGTTCAGCCTGTTGTCCATGCTCCTAGACGGTGCCCAATCCACCTACGAGATGAACTGAAGCGTGAGTTTGATGACATGGAATGTAATGGCGTGATCACTAAAGTCATTGAGCCTTCAGCATGGGTCAGCAGCATCGCTGTTTCAAGGAAGTCGAATGGCAAACTCCGTGTCTGCTTGGATCCCAAGGATCTCAACCGAGCTATTCGACGTTGCCATTATCGCACTATCACGACAGATGAGGTGATACACAAGCTATCAGGTGCTCGACACTTCAGCAAACTCGATGCCAAGAACGGTTATTGGTCTATCAAGCTCGACCATGACAGTTCACTTCTGACTACCTTCAACAGTCCCTTTGGACGGTACAGATATCTCAGGATGCCTTTCGGTCTAGCAATGTCTCAGGATGTATTCCAGCAGCGAATGGACGAAATCCTCGAAGGTTGCCCCGGCACAATAGGGATCGCTGACGATATTGTTGTGTTCGGCAAGAGTGAAGCGGAGCACGATCAGAATCTGCACCACCTCATGTCCAAAGCTGTGAAGTACGGTCTGCAGTTCAACAGTGGCAAGTGCAGCATCAAGGTCAACCAGATTTCCTTCTTCGGTATGATCTACGATGCAGATGGCGTCCATCCGGATCCTCACAAGGTCGAGGCAATCAAGTCAATGTCTCCACCTGAGAACAAGAGCCAGCTTCGTGAGTTCCTTGGTATGATAACCTACCTTAGCCCTTTCATACCAAATCTTTCAGCCCAGACTGCAAGCCTACGTGGTCTTTTGAAGCAGGACGCTGAATTCCAATGGACTCCAACGCACCAGTCTGCCTTCAATGATTTACGTGACAAGGTATGTCACGATGCAACTCGGGCGTATTTCGATGTTAACAAGCCTACGGTACTGCAGGTAGATGCTTCTCTGCAGGGCTTGGGAGCGACTCTACTGCAGGATGGAAAGGGTATCGCATTTGCATCAAAGGCCCTCAGTGATGCAGAGACGAGGTACGCCAACATAGAGCGAGAGCTGCTTGCAGTGGTCTTCGGCTGTGAACGATTCCACATCTTCCTGTACGGGAAAAGTTTCATAGTTGAGACGGACCACAAGCCCCTGGAGATGATCCAGCATAAGCACCTGGCAGCGGCTCCACCTAGACTCCAGCGTATGCTCCTTCGTCTACAGCCATACAAGCTGACAATTGTCTACAAGCCTGGTAAGGATGTACCAGTAGCTGACTGCCTATCCAGACGTCCTCTTGGTCCTCCAGAACACATCCACCTTGACCTGCAAATCAACTTTGTACAGTTTGCTCCAGACCGTTTGAGTCAGTTGAAGGAGGAAACAGCCAAGAATGCAGAGTTTGCAGCACTACAGACGGTGATTGTGAAAGGGTGGCCAGAGAAGAGACGTGAGCTACCACGGCAGCTGCAGAGATACTGGGCCTTTCGAGATCAACTTGCAGTTGAGGATGGACTGATCCTGAATGGTGAACGAATCCTTATTCCACACTCCATGAGGGAGTACATACTGAGCAAGCTCCACGAAGGTCATCAAGGTATCGAGAAGACACGACTTCGGGCTAAGGCTTCTGTGTACTGGGAATCAATCAATGACGATATCGAGGTCCTGGTGAAAGGCTGCTCAGTCTGCCAAGAGTACAAGCCCTCGCAGCCCCACGAGACTCTTCTCCAGCACGAGATACCTACACGATCCTGGCAAGTCTTAGGTACAGACTTATTTCACTTTGAAGGGAACAATTATCTCATCATTGCAGATTACTTCTCAAAGTTCCCTTTCATCCGGAAAATGCCTCAAGAGTGTACCAGTGCTGCAGTAGTCAATGCGACCCATCAGGTGTTCGCAGAACAAGGAGTTCCAGAAAGAATCGTTAGCGACAACGGAAGACATTTTGACTCCTCAACATACAGAGACTTTGCTACACAGTGGGGATTCAGCCATGTTACATCCTCTCCCCACTACCCCAGGTCAAATGGCTTCATTGAGCGAATGATTCAAACTGTCAAGAATACGCTCAAGAAAGCTAAAGTGAGTGGTATCGACCCCAACATGGCTCTACTATGTATCCGTGCCACTCCAATTGACAGCCGCATACCAAGCCCAGCTGAGCATCTTTACGGGAGGAAGA